AAAAAAAAAAATTTTTTTTTCAAAATATAAATATTTAAAAAAATTTTGTGCAAAATTTTTCTTCACATGCATTTGAATATAGATTTCTGAGATTTTAAATCTGTTATTTTACCTTAATTTTAATTAAGAAATGTTTTAAAACCTGATGATTACCTATAGTATAATTAAATTTCAATATAATGCATGGCAACTGTTGGTAGTTTTGAAGTTTATATATTTTTTTGGCAAACTTTAGTTTTTGACATTTTTGACGGTTTAAACCAGCATTATACCCTTGTCATGTCAAAAACCCAACCCTGCCCAAAGCCCATATTCCTATTGAAAAAATTTATATGGGTTTTGTGGCCGAAAAACAAGTAAAAGAGTTATATTCGGCAAAAAAAATTTCTGATGGCCAAATCTTATGCTTACGTAAAGATTTAAAGACTGCTCTTGTAAAGATGGTATCCGTCATTATATCAAAGTCGCCAGCTAAGTTTAGTATTGTTCGAAACATGTCGTGTCTCACTCCAAAAAAATTAGCTGAAGATAAACAAGGGTGTTTGACGAAAATGAGAAGTCTTCTGCATAGCCTAGCAGATATAAATATTATAAAAATCTATGATTGTGATGAAATTCATGATTTTTCTGATTTCATCAATGAAACAGTTAGTCAAAATATTGCAGATTTTTTTAAATTTTGATCAAGAAAAGATGAGGTTGGATGAATTTTTTTCTCATTATTTGGAAGAGAAACATTCGAAAGTTTGGCCATGCATCCAAAAGCTTCTTTTGTTGAGTCATGGACAAGCAACTGTTGAAAGAGGCTTCAGTGTAAATAAGAAAATAGAAGTGGAAAATTTGAAAGAGAACTCATATATCGCTCTGCGAACTATTTGTGATCATATCAATGGTTTGGGTGGTGATATATCAAAGGTTATCATCAATAAAGAACTGAGAAATCTGTTATGATGGCAAGGCAACGATACGACGAGTATCTTGAAGAAAATAAAAAAATTGAAAATTCAAAAAAAAGGAAATTTGATGACCAGGATTCTTTAAATGAAGTAAACAAAAAGAGGAAATATTTACAGCGATGTATTGATGAACTCACAAAATCCACTGATGAATTTGCTGAGAAAGCAGAGAGACTGAACAATATGACTTTGCTGACGAAGTGTAATAGTTTGAGAAAAACTTTAAAAAAAAAAAAAAAAATAGAATTGCTAGAGTTTGAAGAAATAAATAAAAAAAAAATAATTTTCCATGTTACAAGCAAATTAATGATTTGTTATTTGTTTATTTATAATTTTTTGTACAAAATGTATATAATTTCTTATGTATTCAGATTGATTTCAAAACATGTGTTTGGTCAGATTTTTATGCTAATCTAAATCTTTAATTTCTCTTCATACACTTACTCTAGATTTATTAAAATATTTGAAATTGGAAAATTTATGAAGGTGTTGATTTCATTTATTTTTCTTGGTGAAGTTTGACAAAGTCTGAATTTGAGAGGGTGGGAAAAAAGTATCTTGTGCAAAATAAGAATTTTTATTTATTTTCTTCATAATAACTGCTTTTTAATTATAAAAAAATCTAGCTATCTTTTAAGTGAAATTTTTTAAATTATGACAAGTCCTTAATATTTTGGAATCCTTGGATACTCCTTGGATTTTTTCTTCTGATCTCTGTACGAACCCTGCCTACAATTATTTTAGTATTCATGCCCAGTATGTCACGTAATATCAGTTAAATGCTTAAAATGACACCTTGATATAGTGTTTTAGGTGTTTTAGAATACTGATTTAACTTGCTGATTTAAGAAGATAAAATAATTGAAACCTATACTTAAAAACTAAGTACTCACTAATATCTAACAAAAAATTATATTATGTTTTATTTTTTATTTGAGTAAATTTTTGAAAGCCAACTTTAGTTTATTCAAAATAAAGTCAACAATTCATTAACTGAGTATATTAATTATAATTTTTTAATCTGAAACAGAACAGAGAAATGTGAGGAATTAAAATAAAATGCAAAAAGCTGTTGTTACGAAACAGCTGTAAGGGTGTAGTAATGCTTAAAATATTGTATGTAAAATAGTTTTTTTTATATTTAAAACATTTATAAGGTTTTGTAACTTAATTTTGAGGAATGAATTGAATATGAATTCATTTGTAAAAGAAAAAGAAGTTTATTAAAAAATAACAGAAAAAAATTGATTTATGAAAAAAAAATCAAATTTGCATTGAAAGGCGTGTAATAAAATCTTTATTTCGATGGAATAATAAAAGAAATTTTTAAGATTTTATTTTATGATTTTTATCAATGTACAGTTTCTTCAAAGAAAACTGATATCTTCAGTCAAATATTTTCTAAGAAGAAAAACAATAAGAACATTGAACTACATATAGAGTCACAAACGTCAGGGAACAGTTATATGTAGGAAAATAAATTTAGTGAAAATAAGTTATAAATATATCTTACATATATAATTCTGTAGTTTAAGTTCTTTTTATTTAATATATTTCTAGACAATCATTTTTCGATTTTTTATTTATCTTCATTATTATGAAATAAAATCTTTTCATTTCAGTCGAATGAAAAAATGCATTTTATGTTGATTTTAATTTGAATCTGATTCCTGTGCTAATTTCCATATATACTGATACTTACCTGAAAAATAAAATGATTATGAATATTAAGAGGAAATGAATTAATAAAAATCACAAGTTCTGTTTTGCCGAGCATTTTCAACAGATGTTTATTAAGCATGATGCTTATGAATTAAAAATGATATTTGCTCCCGTGTTTTCGATGTTGGAATTTAAATTTTTTATTTGTCTTTATTTTTAAAGGTTACTGCAGTGTTGATCTTTTTTATCAATATTTTTATCAGTAAATGACAATATGTTGCAGAATATGAAATTTGCATTTTTTGATGTTTGTTTTAATTAAATGTAGGCTCTCCTCAGTTAAATGTATGTTAAATCAAAAAAGATTTTAATATTTTTATTACGATTACCCTCATTAGGGTTTTCAAATGATAAAAATAAAGTGTGAGTTGAGTTTAATAAATTTTAAAAGAAATTTTTACATTGTAAGATCTTTTTTTTTTCTATTGACGTCATACTATTTTAGATTCCTGGATGTGAGTTTGCGAATATTACTATGCATGGAATCATGCTATAAAATAAATATTATTACTAAAGGAACACGATGTAGATCTTCACTTTTCATATCTAGTTTTTAATGAGTATTTGTAAGGATCATTCATCAGTTTTTTTTATGAGAAACTTTTTACCTCTTTTTATCTATTTTATTTATTGAATAATGCAACCTAACTGAAATTGCAAACATTTCATATGTTGGATTATGGAACCATCTAGTAATTGTAGAAATGTTTCAGGTATCTTAACTACCAAAACTAAATTTATTGTTTCAGAATTTTAAATGAATCATTTAAAAAAAGAAGTTCACTATTGCTAACTTTTTTAAAATGGCAAGTTAAGAGATCACTTAACTACAATTTTAAGCAAATATAAAATAATGTTTAAACCTAATTATAAATTTAATAATTATAACATTTCCAAATAGGGAGTTGAAGGATTGTCTACTAAGATATTATTTAAAGATATTACTGTTTAGTTACATTAACTGCATATTTATTTTAAAATTGTTGGAACTGTTTAATTATTTGTTTTAAAAAGTCGAACTCAATTTAACAAACTCCCAAATTAAGTTTTGATGTGGGGAATCAATAACTAATATACATTTTTAAAAATACTAAAGTTTCTTCATTATAAAATTATTAATTCTGTAGGTATGAAGATTTTTAAATGTAAATAATAATTTATATTTACCATGCCGTTACAATATGTCGTAATTTTTTGTATTGTTAAATAATGTCAAAGTTGAGTATTTAATCTTTCCAGCTTTTTAGCTCTAAATTAAAGAATTCTGTGCTCATAATTGGACTTTGCTCTGTTTCAAAATTGTCCCAAAACAGGTTTTGAGCACTTGAAACTGTGTGTGAAAACTTGTTTGTTCACAAAACGAAATAAGTTTGAAAATTGACAACCACCTCTTATAGTTCCCTCAGATATATTTTACTGTATTAATTGGACAAAGGAATGCTATTTTAAGATAAAATTATTTTTATACAAGTAATAAATTATTAAACTATTTGATATTCTATTTGTTTTAAGTATAAAACTTATTGAAAATAAAAAAAACATTTTAAAGTGAATTCTTTTTTAGGAATTTATGCAAGCCTATCCTGCTTTACCTAAGCTGGTTCTAGTTTTAAAGCAGTTTCTCTTAGAAAGAGATCTAAATGAAGTTTTTCTTGGTGGAATTAGTTCTTACAGTCTTATTCTGCTCACAATAAGCTTTTTACAGGTATTATTTTTACACTATGCTTATTTCATACTAAGAATTGGTCCTGCTTGGAAATTAATCATTTTGTTCTTTATCTAAATGAATAGATCTAACCTTAGTCCTAGAGCTATTAAATAATTTTAGTATTTAAAAACAGTCCATTCTCTTTATTCAGAAACTTTATATACAGTAGGATAAAGGTCATAAGACAGAATATAAAATTCTACTTAAAAAAAAAAAAAGTTTTAGGAAGTTAAGAAATTACAAAAATATAAATGAGTTTAAGTAATTAAAAGTAATTTTTTTTTAAATTTTATTTATGCTACGTGAGCCTAGTTACTGAAAATTTTGTTTTGGACATAGCTTAAAGTAGTATTTAAGACAATGGTTATTTCTATTTATATATGGCTTTATTTTTAAACATATGTTAAAAGCTGTATCCCTTTTTTTTTTTAAAATGTGTATTTTGAGCGATATTGATATTGATTTTAGCATTCAAATAGTATTTTTTTAAATGAATCATAAAGCTGTCCATTTCATTTATTTATAATTATTGCCTTATATATTATGATTCTGGTTTTGATAAGTAAGAAAAGAATATTGGAGAAAAGAATTGTTATGAACAACAATGAAATAAAAGGAAGAATTGAGTAACCAAAACCATGTTATATCCCCATGCTATTATTAAGCCTTTAGAACAACATTATATATATATAGTGAAATAGAGTAATACTGAAATAGTGAAATGATGCTTCATCAGCACATATAAAAATATATATTCACACAAATCTCTGCTTTCATATAGCAGTTTTTTCATAGAAAATAAAATAACTTCCCTAATAAAAATGCATGTTTGTTATAATAAGAAAAATAAAAAAATAAATAAATTGCTACAGTAGGTACTATTTTTGCACTGTTATTTATGTTTTAAGTATGCTATTAAACTATTACACTTTTCTTGCTATTTTTAATGAAATAGTGTAGAATTCAGTAAAATATACTGCGTCCAAATTTAAACTTGATTATGATAGCCATGAACATTTACTCTTTTATTTAATAATATGAAAAAATTATATAGAGCGTTAGTATTTTTACATCTACTTAAGACTTATTTAATGCATTTATTTAAGAACATTCTTTTTTCAAAAACATAATAAAAACAATTTTTATTGAAATATATACTAATTTATTGAAATATATACTAATTTTATATATATATAAAAAAAAAAAAAAACTACCTCGTTTTATCCTATGCTGGGATGAAGAGGACATATAAAAGCATATTCTTTTGAATGATTTACTTAAAGGAAGCAATCAAACTAAGTAGAATAGTTATGTTTCAAATTTGATCTATTACGAACCAATGTTTTTAAAAGATATCAAAAATTTCAATAACTTAAACTAAGTTTAAAAATTTGGCTTTGAGCCTTTTTTTTTTTTTTTTTTTTTTTTTTTTTTTTTTTTTTTTCATTTTAAAAAAAACTTTTTTTAGCTTCACCTGACCCTACTAGTAAAAGTTCAGTAATTAAGTAAAAAATTTTAGTACCCACTCTTATGAGGTACTAAAATATTTTACTTAAGGAAAGGAAAAAATGTGTGAAATTCATGAATTTTCCTTCAAAACAAAACCTTTAAATTTTTTATTTAAATTTTTTTTGATATATGGCAACATTTTTTAAAATCATTACTTTTTTTTAACGTTAGTTCACTTGATAGCAACTGCTTGTTAACATCACAAAATAGTTTTTAAAATAGTTTTTTTCTTTTAGCACATGCGAAGTCAGAATGAAACAAACCTTGGAAAACTTTTGATTATGTTCTTTGAGCTTTATGGCCGTCATTTCAACTATCAAAGCACTGGTATAAGTATTAAGAATGGTGGAACTTATTTTATAAAAGGAGATTTTAACTCGATGACTGATGGAAATAGGCCTTCCATACTTTGTATAGAAGATCCTTTGCTACCAGGTATTTATATAATCGGTGTAAATTTAATGCATTAAATTATTTGTTTTTATTTTCTTTCTAATGATGATCTTATGAGATTAAAATTTGTAAGTTTTTTTTAATGAATGATTTTTTTAGCATATGTTTTATAAATAAATTATTCTGACCCAAGAAATCCAAATAAATGTGCCAATTTTCCATAGAATTAGATTTTTGTCTATCAATCATGAGGGATAATATAATTTAGAGACTGTGTGTTTAATACTTTTGAACCATATCTTAAGGGTTATAAAATTATACTTACTGACTTCTAATTACAATAAAGAGCAGGGGAAAAACTGATAGGCAGAGGTTAACTACTCTAGATTTTGTTTATATCTAAACATCTGTAACTGAATATCCATATTGCTAATAACAACAAATATTGAAAACATTCAGCTTTCCATTAAGAAATCAGATTAAATCACTTTCACAAAAAAATAGCCATGAGAAGTATTTAAGAATTTAAAATAATGACATAAATTAATGAAGTTGTGCTGCTAGTTGAAACCATGTCTAATGTAAAGGCATATTTTTTTAAATTTTATTTGCCAGTGATTTATTATAAATGCTTCATAAAATTTAAACTTTTAAAATAGTTTTATTTAAATTATTGCCAAGGATTGACAAATTTTGGCTAGCTAACAGTATCTTCATGGCTATTAACTATTTCAAATTAATACACATCTTTAATCTAATCTATCCTATTGTTTAATATATTTTAATGAGTGAATTGATGTAAATGTTTTTTATTTGAATAATCTGTGATAATACAGTAGAATTGCTCGGGACCATCGCTATCCCAGATGTTTGAATTTCCCGGTTTTCTGGATCGGCCAAAAGTGCCGTTAATCGATGTTTTATCAAACCCAAATTACAAGGAAAAAGTTTAACGTATTTAAAAATAGGGAAAAACGAAAAGATATTCTAAATTTAAAAATATGGTAGAAAAATAACATTTAAAAGGATAAAAACATTTGCAAATTTAGACAAGAAAAACAAGTTTGAAAAATACAAAATTTGCATATTTATTTTTTGATAATAATTAAAATCCCCAAATTAACTAATATAAAACAAAACGAATATTAAAAAAACGCAATATATTTCATACCTAATTATACTTGGGGGGGGAGGAAAAGAAAACTTATTAATCTAAATAAAAACAACACTTGAAAATTATGGAAAGGAAACAAACGATATTTAAAAAAGGCACTAACATAAGTATTAAAACCTCGAAGAGACAGAATATTATAAAATAAACGGAATTAAAAAAAAAAAAAGCTTAATGATGAAATTTTTGAATAAAAAGAATGAATTTATTGAGTACGAAAGTTATCCTAAACGAAAAAAAAAAAAAAAAACGCAGAGGAATCANAAGAAAAAAACAACGCAGTGGAATCAGAAAAACAGAATCAAAATTTAAAAAAGAAAAAAAAAAACTGCTATCTTCTTTATAAAATAATCGCCTGCTTTTATTAACAAATAATTATATGCTTAAATTAATAAACAAACTTCTCCTTTTATTTTATTTTTTTATTAAAAGACTATTTTTAACGAAAGCAGATGTGATTGCACATCAAGAAAAACTTGCTAATGATATCGCATTTCTAAGAAATCAGAATTTATTCAACAAAAAAATATTGTTTTGCTTATTGATGTCAAATAGATGAATATAACAGGTGATTAAATAATGCATTATCCGAAATAATAAAACAATTCTCCATAATAAATAACAAAACTGAGTAACTGAAGTGGATGATTTAAAATAAATCTCACATTTCACCTTTAAAATCAATTACTCTTAGCCAGATGTTTCAAGTTCCTTAACTCAACATTCATTGCTATGCCTGTGCAATGCATTTTCCCTACCCCCATCGTAAATCAAAGAGAAAACGAAATCAGCTTGCCACTCCTTTAAATTTGATTGATGGCAGGTTATCAGAAAAAGAAAATAAACACAGGAGAAAATAAAACATTTGTCCCTTCCCTGCCCCCTCTGGATCTAATGATCTTCAAGGTCAGGGGAAGAATTGAAGTTCCTCTGGGCAAGTGAGGAGAATTCCCCCCTTTCCCTCTACTCACCTTTAAGGATGAGTCAAATTTCTGCTTTTTTTAAAAAAAATTTTTATAATCGTTATAGTACTTTAAAATAGAGGGAAAACCAAGCAAAATTCTTCCTGGATTTCTGGTTTCCCGGTTATCTGGATACCGGATAAATGGTTCTCTACTGTACAATTGTAATTTCACATAAATTTGAATTCAATTTTCAGCAGTTATTGTTATGCATTTCCACATGATTTTTAAATTCTCAATGTTTTTATTTCCCCTTTATTGGGACAATTAAGTTTCAAATTATGAATTTGAGCAATCACTTATTACACACCGGATCCGTTATTAATTCCAGGCAATTTTTTGTCGCTGTTTCTATAGTTCTTATTACAACTTTTCAAGGACTTTAAAAATTCGTATTTTGTTTATCAGTTTTTTCAGCAGTCAGCTATTTCATTTCCCTTGCCTTTTAGAATACCAAATTTAATACATAGCAACACACAAAATTAATAAAGGACTTACACATTTTTATAGAGAGGGAAATTTTTTTCCTAGAAATTATTTGAGACCTTTGATTTTTTTTCCTTATTTTTACTGTTCAGTGTGTTTTTAGCAATGTTTACAGTGTATATTCTTTTGTAATTGTGCATTGCTATCTCAAAATATGCTAATAAATTATAATCTGTATACCATTTCTGTGTTTATAATTGTGATTAGGTCACTTATCTATAATTTTTAATGCAAGAGAAGACTCTTTGCAAGTTCTGATGTTAACACTGTTCATATCTGAAGAGACTAGAGAAAAATCAGTTATATTTTTGTAGTAAATGAGATAAAGTAGTAAAAAAAATGAACTATTTAAGTTGGCTTTTGAGTGAAGCCCTGATTACATGTTTCTGAAGTTGTACATTATTATACTAATTTCAGTATTTTTTTAACTGCTATGTTATGTCGGAACAAATGAGTTTTATACAAAAATGTTAGAAGTACATAAATTTTAAATCCAATTACTTATGTTTTTCCAAAATAAAGTTCTCCATTTTAATTCAACAATATGGTGCTTCTTTTTTGGTTAATTTTTAAGTTGGAAAAACGCATCTACTCTATATAAAATGAAAATGTGGTATATAAGCTGTGTGAACACATTTTTATGTACATTTCTTTGGTTGATGAAAGTAATTTTTTAACTTTTCCTTGCTTAAATTTCTAGTTAATTTGTTTATTAATTTTTATTATCAGACTGTTCCTTTCTTATGGAGATCCCTTAAAACTAATGTCCCTGAGCTAAAACCCAGTGCTAAAAATAGCTATTTAATATTTTCAGGCAAAATATGTTTAAGTTTTAAGAGAATAAATTTTTTAATTGTCATAAATTTTTTACCTATTTAAAGATTTTAAGTATTAAGCATAGTTAAACTTACGCCATATTTTAATAATTTCAGGTAATGATATAGGCAGAAGTTCTTATGGAGCACTTAATGTGAAACTGGCGTTTGAATATGCTTATAAAATACTTAGTGAAGCTGTCCGTCCAAGCAACTTTACTCCTGATAACAAAAAAAGGTAAAATTTTCGACATATATTGAATTATTTTATAGGCAATAGGAGCAAGATTAGCGGAACCTTTTTAAAAAATGACCCTGAAAATCTTAAGAATAAACTATGTTTTTTCAGAGAGGGCTACATAAATATTATTTTCTTTTCTTTTCTTTTTTTTAGAAAACAAAGTCACATTTTGAGACTATTTTTTCAGGGACAGCATTTTTATGACCATAAATGCACTGAAACCTCAATTTTCCAAACCTCTTTTTTTTACTTTTTCAATATTGATAACTTTTGTAATTCAGTTTGAGACCCTCAAGATAAAGAACTATTTGTACTGCATGGCTAAACTGATCATTATATGTTATGTTAGGAAAAAATCATATTTTTAATTTTATTTAAACATAAATAAATATTATATTGTTATTTATATTTTTATATCCCCTCCTTTAATGATCCATTGTTATGTGCACAAGTTACTGATTTTAAAAGTTTTCTAACAAAATATTTTGCTGACATATATTTCTATTTACAGTAAAATCTCTCAATGATTATTTTGGATAACAAAATAAATAAAAGAAGAAACAAACTATATCAATTGTGTGTTACAAATAAGTAATTTGCCAGCTGAAGTAATTCTAGTAATTTTTAAATAAGCTGAAGAAATGGGCTTCTGAAATATGATTAAATATCTGCTTAGCATGCTATGTATACCACATAGTAATGCCTAGTATAAAAAGGTATATTGAACACTTTTTTTTTTAAATATTCAGCATTACAGTGTGGTATATATAAAATGTGAAAAGAATTAGAACACAATTTTGAAGTTCTTTGTCAAATAAATCCTTGAAATGTATTTTGAAAGCAGAAAATATGCCGTGTGAAAATTGTTGTGAACGTAACTAAACATTTTCCTAGAGCAGTAAAGTCTATGTATTAACAATTATTTTAGGAAAATTTCATAAAATTTTCAAACTAATTGTATTTTTGTCTAACTGGATTTATATTCTACCATTTTTTTGTCTGAGTCATCTTTTATTTATCTGATTTTCCCATTTTAAAGAATAGTTTCATACAATTTTTAAGTTTCAAAATGCTTTACTTGATATGCTTTTAAAAATTTTAATTAGCTTAAAATTAATTACTAGTAACAGATTGCTTTGAAAAATTATTATGAGGAGCCAGTGCTACTTATTTTTTTAAGTTTTAAAATAATTTAATAAATTTTTGAATTTTTGACCTCAAAAATATGTCTGCAATCTGGGTAAATATGGTCCCCATAGCGATTCAAAGTTTGGACCCCTTAATGTTAATTTAGCTTTTTGCATATTCCGCCATGTGTCAAGAACTTTTTACGCAAATTGAAACATTTGTGAATACAGTTATAAAATTCGTTTATTCAAAGATAATTTCATACAAAAAATAAATTTTAGCAAATGTTTATTATTTTATTAAATAATAGTCAACAAATATTTGAATTTTACGGTATACAAAGTTTTGCATCATGTTAACGAATATAATTTTGAGAGACAAAATACAAAATTTGAGCAAAATCAGTTGAATAGTTCCTGAGAAATCTAGTTTTAAATATCTGGACTTTTTTAAAATTTGATTTCTCTTATTCAACCGATTTTGCTCAGATTTTGTTTTTTACCATGTAAAATTACAAAAGTTGTTCAGGATGGTCTGCCTTTTTTTTTTTCGCATTCTGCCTTCAATTTTTTAAACCACATGCATAAACTGCATGTGTAATTAGTTCTTAAGGTAATATAAATTTTTTTAAATAATAACATTAAAGGAACCAAACATTCTACTTCTCTCTTGACTTAGCTATTATGACTTTGTTTTCAAAATTACTGCAGTTACTAAAGAAGAAAAAGTGTGTTTACTTAAAAATAGTTGTTTTATTACGCTAAAATCAAAAAGTTAGTCAGAACTTTAAATTGTTAAAATTTAAATCGTTAGGTTTCATTTTTTATACTTCATTTTTTTTTTCTGAGAAAAAATAATAATGAAGTTTTTTATACAAATTTGAGTCTGTGTTTATATATTAATAAAAAATTGATTTTCTTATGTTATTTAGCAGTTTTATATTTATTTTCCAGTATTTTGGGGCGCATTATCCAAATAACTGATGAAGTAATTGCTTACAGAAATTGGATTAGCAAAACATTTCCTGTGAGTTCGATTTCTATTTTGCAAGATTCTGAGTCGAACATTTCAAACAAATTGAAAGATACCCCGTAAGTAATAGCCTATTTTTTTTTGCTACTAGCATGGTTTGATAAACATACAAATTTTATTTAATTTATGCCTTTTACATAATTTCAGCATTGAATTTTTACGTGTATAACTTCAACTTTTTCAAATGTAGCATTTCCTCCACGCTTAAGTGTGTTTTCAACCCTTCTTTCACAATATTTTACTCTATTATAATTGTATCAAAAGAGTTTTTATCTTTAAATCATCGATGAAATGATTATTTGTTTTAGAACTTGGAAATCCACACGAGAAAGTGATTCTTCTTGTATCTCCTCTGCTTCTAGTATGGCAAGTGATACTGTAAGTCACTTCAATTTTATTTTTATAGTTCTTAGTCATTTTTCTATCAAAATATATATTTTGCACATACTTTTTAACATACCTTAACAAAAAATGAACCAAAGGCAAAGTTTTCTATTCGTAACTAAAAACTGCAACATATGTATAAATTTAATAGTGCTCTGGTAATTCTTAAAATAAAATTACTATCTCTTCACCTCTTCTTGATTATAAATATCCAGGTGGGAAAAAACCTTACTAAACTAGCAATGCCTACAAAGTTCCATATCAACAAACTCATAGTTTTAACAGTATTTATTCTACAATTTGATACATGAATGTGATCTCTTTATTTTTAAGTAAATTGACATTAAAATTCAAAAGTAGCACTTAGTTTTCGATGTAATCTTTTTAATTAAATGTTTACTTCGATGCAAGGGATAATATGCTATAGAAGAAAAATATTCCAAAAGGTGTAAAAGAAATTTAATGAATTCATTCTAAATGCTCAGATTGTAGCCACAAAAGTCAGTACGATTGCATGTCCCACCTCAAAATTTTCTTGGTCCAAATTCTTGAAATAATTTTCTGTTATTCTTTTTCCAACTTCTTTCACTCCAAATAATAGTTGAAAATTGGCAATAATTATTTACTATTTAAAATTGCAGTCTTTTTGTTTGGATCTAAGTAATTAAGTACCAAAATAGTTAGGTTTGAAACAAGCTAAAAATTAAAAGTATCAAAATATAATGTTGAAATTGATAAAAATTTACTACAAGTAAAGACAAGTGTTTTTCTTAAAAAAGATATTTAAAAAAGTCAGATATTTATTTTCCAAAAAGTGTCATTTTTAGCCATTTCCAAAAAGATTTTCCAGAAATGTTGAAAAATATTATCTAAATGCTCAAATTCAAATAAAATTTGTTTTCTTGTTTTATCACTTTGCTATGGACTGAGTTGGAAACCAAGAATTTCCTTACAAGCCGTAATCAAGGGTTTAAAACAATAATTTATTCCTTATATAGATTCCATGTAAAAATTTATGCTCATTTTTTTTTTTTAATATTTTCTCTAAAAACAACAATTTTTCTGAAATTGTCCATATATATTTTAAATGCTTGTTGCAGTATTACTGTTTAGAATTGAAATGTAAAGTAAGAGGCTTTTTAATAACATATATATTTTTTTCCAACATGTTTGGTTATCTATCTGTGTAAAAGTAGTGATGGACTGTGTTTTTATTCAGTATTCAGCTGCAGCTTTTATAACGTTCCCCATTATCCAGTCTTTTTAATGCTTCCAATTTCACTTTCAATGGAATGAATTTACTTTCACTTTTTTTAGAATTCATCTAAAAAAAGTGAAAGGAATGCTGATTTACAAATGAACTAAAAATTCCTATCACGAGCACAAATATTATATATACCTCAAATATTGTAATTAATTTGTGCAGGCGATATTCTAAGTTATGAAATCCGGCACAAAAACTTACTTTCTCTGAATAAAAATTTTTTATTTTTCAGATTTTAGACCCCTAAAATATGAGGAGAAGCTGCAATCTGGGAAATATGACATTAATTTTTAATCTTAATATTACTTTTTGCATATTTCACCATATCTCAAGAACTTTTTAAGAAAAATTTGAACAATTTTTTAGCACAAATTAAAAATTTGCATATACAAAGTTAGTTTCATGCAAAAATGATAACATTTGCTGCTTTTTAAGACTTTTAATTCTAAGTTAAGAATGCAATTAAATTTGTGACACTACCCAAAAATTTGACATTCAATGATCTGGAAAGTATGATAATATGAAGCACAAATATTTCAAACTTAAAATGTATAAAAAAAAATTCATTCGAATTAAAGTTTTAAATCAATATTTGGCATTTTATTATTCTCATAAAATTTCGTGAACGTTAATGAAATTTTGATTATTAAGCATTTGTCACTATTTTAAAGTGAAATCTGTTCACTATTTTGGTTTTTTATTTTGCATAGTGTAGTACTTATCAATATAATTAAAAGTGTGTGACTTCTTATCAATATGAATTATAATAACATTTAATACTTTATTGTATGGTACTGAATAAAAAAAGGAAATGCAGCCTATATGATAATTGAAAATTGTAGCAATTTTTTTTCACGGGGGCGTCGTATCTACCAGAAATTATTGTGATATAGTGTTAAATGCAATGAACTCTATTTCTTCAATTTTCAAATCAAAGTCTGTAAATAAAGTATATTTATCCCAATAATATTTTATTATAATTTGTTTTGTAAGACTCATCAATATTAACTTTTATTTCAGGATTCAGATGTTGATATATTTGTAAAGAGTTCTGAAACTGTTACCTCTGACTTAGAAACTATCAAGTGAAAACACTGATTTGCAAAGAAATCCTTAATGTCTCTAATTGAATGGTGAAGACATAAAAATCTTTAAAAAGTGATGAAAAAAATCAGAATTAATAGTAGTGGATATTTTCTTGTTTTAGCTACTACTACAATTTTACTTTTTATCCTGTACAACAGAATTTCAAATGCATTTTATATATATTTTATATTATAAATATATTGTGATACAGTCCTTTGCATATTTACCAATTACTAAAACTACTAGTAGCAAAGGTATTGCAGTTCTTATATTCTTTTTTTTATTGAAGATTATTATCAAGGAAATTTCACTTACATTTTTTTTAATTGACTCTATGGACTAAGTACTTTTCTTATGTAACGTTCAAGTACGTTAACAAGACAGAACATCACTGAGAAATTTCTAAGAAATATTTTTTTTCCTCTTATCTTATCGGTGTGCATGTTTAAGAACATTTTCTTGAAATTGTTCTTAATTTCTTGAATTGTATAAATAATGTTTAAGACAAGAAGGCTGTGACAAACTAGGCAAAAAAAAATGTGTTTTTAAATTATATAAATGGTATTGTTATAAAGTTTTAGTGTCTATTGCATTGAGGCTCAGATGGTTATGATAAGCCTTCTCAAAACACAGTCTTTCAACACAGTCTAAATTTACTTAATCTACCCCTTAATTTTTGCTTCAAAATAATGAGTTTCACATTTCTTGGATGCATAAGTCGATCAATGAATTTATAAATGCTAAAAAAGAATTTTTTAGCAATTTATAAAATTTTGCTAATATTATTTGTTTTTCTCTACCACCTTTATTATAAAATTAAATTTAAAACTTAACGATGCTACTGCAGACGAAGTGTTTTAAATTAATGCAGATAATATACTTTAGATTTCTCACTACAATGGTACTAACTTAAAAGATGTACTATATGGTGTAGAAAGTTTTATTTTTGTTATATTTAAGTTTTCATTGTGTTATTATTATATTTTTTGTGTGTGTTTGTATTTATTATATGGATCTGTGTTTATTTATATTTTTATTGCATAGCTGCCAATTCTTCTGGATTTTTCCAGATGATTTTATTTTTATATTTGAAGTGATAGTATGGCCTGTGTTTTTCTGTTTAATTCTTGAATTAAAGAAGTTAATTTATTTTAATTATTAATTTATTATATTAATTTTAATTACCGCAACAAATGAATGTATTAAACATGTATATAAATGCATGATAGTAGCTTAATGGTGTTCTTAGGCTCTGGTAAAATATGCCAAGATTTTTGCCTACAATTTATTTTTTCAATTTTAATTTCTTTACCACTTGGTAAAACCATGCTTGCTTGGAAGGAGCAAAAGTTGACAGGCATGATTCTTAATCTGTCTTCACCTGTCTCATAAAAAGATTGGGAAAAAAATCATTTCCTGGCATGTTGCCAGAGTTCAAAACGACCCCTACTATTATAGCAATTTAGGGTCAATAAAACAGACTAATTTACTAAAAAGAACTATGAGCATTTTGTTTTACTAAAATTCTTAATATGGTTTTAAACATAGAATATTGTGAATGTTTTTATTTATTTTTTATATAAATGAATTTAATCCCAGTGTTGCTTACCTTAAATTGTAACATGTATTACAAAAGAGGGGCAACTTTGTGATACCATTTTGTAACTCCTTTATACAGAATCAATAAATAATGCAATCTTGATGCTTTTTGTAACCAAGGAAGTATCTCCTTCTAAATAAAAGTTTTAATTTTAATTGTAGTTTCCTGTTTGAACATGATTTCTCGCAATTGTTATTGTTGCAAGAAGTGATATTTTTGTGGTTATTTGTTTTGATATTATATTAATTTGAAAATTGTCTAACTGCATGTTAGGATAACTATATCTAAGGTACGTAAATACACGGGAACATTACTTTTAAAATGTAACAAGTTAAGTACAAGTACTTTAGACGAAAGTAATGAGTAAATAGTAAACGAGAAAGTAACGAGTTTTGATTTTGAAAAGTACAAAACAAAAAAAGTAACTATTTTAAGGTATAGGGTGTTTATAATTTAGGTTATGATTTTAAAAATCGATAATTTTAAAACTACTCATCAGAATGACCTGATGTTTTTGCAAGACAATAGTGAGGCAATGGAATTTTGCTTGGCAAAGGGAAAAAAAATTCCAATGTCGATCGATAGGTGGAAAGACTAGAAATGGATTCGTTACACACATGAATGTTGTTAGTCTAAAGGAAATATAGAGTTCAGGGCTTTGCTAAAAATTTATTAGCGAAAATACCAGAATGTGTGTTTACAGCAATAATGCCAAACTGAAAAAAAAGAGCTTCAGGGAACTAACATCTTACTGATGATGAAGGCATAAATTCTTCGATGAGCCCCGGCCTTGTTCTGGTAACATATATATGTAATGTTCTGATTTGAAAACTTATATACTTCCCTTTAAGGTAATAAAATTCTTGATGCCTTCCTCAGTATCATTGCCTTTTTAATCTTAATGATATTATTCATGAAGAGAGCTGGAAATTTATCTTTCATATCAACCTGAACAACAACTATATTCTATTTATTGACTGTCTTATACAAATCAATGGTATCCCCATGGAATATAATTTTAGTATTTATGTTTGCAATATTTTCCCTAAGAATGTCGTTGAATCATTTGATAATCTTAAACTTCCTACAAATTTCTTCTTTCTCTGATTTATTAATGATCCTTTGGTTATTAATTTTGATGATTTTGAAATTTTAGCTTAGCAAATTTATCCATTTTAGCAATTAATTCTTAACAAAACTAATATTTTAAATTTTTCAGTAAATTTTCTAGATTTAACTCTTAAAATTAATGAAGGTAGAAAAATTACCTTTAAACTTTTTGATAAAAGAAATGATTTTAACTTTCCAATTAAAAGGAGTATAGATTTTAATTCTAACTTAGTCAATAAGGTTTTTTCCATGTTTTATTACAAATCAGATTTTTAGGTTTTACAGGAATAATTCCAATTTTAAAGACATTTTAAAAGAGACTGGTAAATTTAAAACAGATTTAATTAATAACCATTTTCCTTATTCATTCCTTCAATTTAATTTTTAAAAAAATTTAAATCATTTATTTTTTCTGATTATAGAATTAACTCTGCTTTAATTTTAAGGTAGGAACTAATTATTATAAGCTATTCCTAAAACTACTGGACGAAAGAGTTAGGATCTCTGACCTTTTATACCAAATCAATTAATTTATTAAGTGAATTTCTAAATGGTAGTCCTTATAAAATAATTTTAATTGTTCAGTGCAATAAACAACTTTTTTTAGTAAGTATGGATGGGGCTTTGATAATAAGCGTAGGCTTTACTGATACGGAAGAATGCAAGAATGAAGGATCCCTTAGGAAAATTTGCCGAATGTGTAAAATGTAAGAATGCTTAAGACAAATATCAACTTTTTTACGCTGCAAAAAAAAACAAAAAAGTATTTAAGTTCCAGATTTTTTTTCTCTGAAAAGACTCAGAGCTTGATTTATTGTGAGAACTGAGAGGCTTTTTAATAAATGTTTTCCCACCGGAAGGTAAGGTCGACTAGAAACCTAAGTTCGGTTAAAAAATGAATAGAAGGCCACTCCTTTGCAGAGGTCGCTCCGAGCTTCTGATTTCGGTTGGTAACGTCACGGCGGAGCAGCATCAACTTTTCTCTTTAAAAATAGTTTCAATACTTCCTTTATTTTGAGGAAGTTTTCTTCTCATCTGATTGCAAAGATTTAACAGTAGTAGTCAAATATAGCTAGCAAGAAATATTATACAACACAAAATGAGAAAGAGTAATTTTCCATGTTTTAACTCCAGAAGGTGACATCAAATGAATTATAAAATGTTTGATGAATATCTGTGAATAAAAAGCATTGTTTTTAGTTTAGACTGCTTAAGAACTTTTTTTTAATCGTTGAAATCGATACTTAGAACAACTAGAACAGAAAATGAAATATACAAAGAAAAGAAAATCCTGAACTTAAAAAATAGAAGGGAAAATTCTTCCAATTCCATGATGAATGTATTTTTTAATGTCATTATTCAAAATATTTATGCTTTTTAATTATAACTCCTTAATTTTAGATTCATGTGGGCAATATTTTCATTATTATGTGCTCAAAGATTATTTTTTTAGTAATTTGCATTTAAGGTTTTTGTTTCTTAGTAATAATGTATACAATTATATATATATATATATAAATTAGACATCCCAATTAATAAACTATTGCTATCAAACAATGTGTAACTATAAAAGTGCCTTGATATGCTTTCTTTTATTTAACAGCAAAAGTTAGAAACTGAAATAAGAAAACGATGACAATCATTGAGAAATTTTTCTAACTTTAAAATGTTATTTATTAATACTGTATGGAAATGTATGAACACTATATTTTTGAACAGGAATAATTTGTTAGCAGTGTAATGTTTGATAGCTATTATCAGAAAAGTGTCGAACATTCAACTAATTTCTTACAGCGAAAGTATAAACAGCAAAGTTTTCATATCTTTTAGTTGTGATTTTCGAGATCTGTGTGCGACGTGACGTCATGAGGTGGGGAATCGTAGCTTTAGCTTTGAGTAAGGAATGAACCAGTCCTTCTTTTCTCATTACCCCCTGGTTTCGGGCACCCGGTGAAAATACAATCGTTTACCCGGCAGGTGCCCGGAACTTGAAAAAAATTGTACTAGCTAGTTTCGGGTACCCGATAAAATTTGGATTTATTATCCGACCAGTACCCTGTCCGGAAATTATAGTATTTAAGCAAAGCAGTATAAAAATTTTATAACTTTCCATGAAACAAGTATTTTATTGTGCACCTAAATAAATGAAACACGTTTTTATTTTAGGATTTTTTAAGGCAAAAACTAAGTAGAATTTTCTGTCTTAATTATTTTTATATATATTAAATTGATGCATAAGTGCTTCAAAATATAATGAAATGACTCCAGGAAATTACGAAATAGGACCAATGAGCAATAAGCGAATCTTCATTATCAATCCATATGAACAAAAGGGTTATGACAGGTTAGATGGATTAGCACAGTTGGGCAGACTCCTAACCAAATAATATACATAGGGGAAGCAGGCTAGCTTCGGCAGGCATAATGTAAACCAGTCTACCAAGGTTTGATAAGGTCCCTTGGTATAAAGGAAAAAACAATACTTAGAGGCACAGCAGAAATTATAGACAGGGTTAGTCCTACGTCATCAACGACGTCACTAGCTCTCCTCGTTCCAAACAAAGTTCTGAACGGAGCAAACAATATGGAGTTTCTCATGTAGTTAAAAGTGGGTGAACTAAATCTTTGAATATATTAATATAGAGTCGAATTTAACCACTGACATGGCAAGAAAAAGTGTTGCATATATTAATATTACGTTAATCTCTTTTTATGATATTAATTGGAATAGCTTATTAATTGCAAATGATTATGAAAACTTTTTGTATATATGATTGAGAGAATTTGTATTTAATATTTACCATATAAATTGTATTTATAATCTGGAAATCGGAAATTTGTGAATTTTATTATTTGGAAAAAGTTATTTCTAATTTATGTTTAATTTTTCTTAAAATATGTATATTATATTAAATCAATTTTTTTTATAATATTGAGACAACTTATTAATTGTAAATAATTATGAGAATTTTAAAACAAATTAAAAAGTTATGTAAGAAGCATGAATAAAGTCAGATAAATTAGTGAAAATTATAAAGCATTTTAGATACACGTTTTTAAAATAGCTCAAATTAATTGGTAAATTTACTAAAATGATAGGAAGTAAAAAAAAAAAAAATTATATAAACAAAAGAGTTGACAGGTCTTAAAACATATTTACAACCAAATTATGAAATAAATATGGATGACTTGAATGTTACGTTCACTGCAACAAATAGAATATTACTATGAAGGTAATTTAAAAAATTTTGATTTAGACTGTCAAATGCAAATTTTATTCTATAAAAAGTGATAACAGTAACATTTGCCAAAATAAAAGCTGTATAACTAAATATGCATACATACATTAAAGAATTAAGTTTCTAAATTAAAAAATTTCTTAAAAATTTGAATTATATTTATTTGAAATGCATGCGAAATTAATATTATTAAATAAGTAAAATTTAAACATCTATGTGAATACATAGATTAATAAATATGAATGTTAAATAAAAGTTTATGTATGGGATAAGTATGTTTTAAAGAATTCTAAAAAAATTCATGTTGCACTTTCTTATCGAATAAAATAGGAATCTGAGATTTTAAGATAAATTCATATATAACACCTAAAAAAAATTGTTCCTCTCACATTTTAAAATGAAAATTAGAAATTTAAAATTCTAAAATAATTTAGCTATTCTATATATTAAAATTCTGGAAACTATACATAGTATTGACCCTTTTAACATAACACTACACTTTAACATAGCACTACACTAGTTACGTTAAGAAATAATCTAATATTAATTATTTAATAATAAGGTATCTTAATTTTTTCAAAAAATTAATGCATAAAACTACTGTTAAAAACTGATAAATACAAACAAGAAAAAATCTCAAGTCAAAATAAATCTGAGTTTAAACTAAAACTCTGTGCAGATTTAACTATATGTATACATATTAAATAAGTTAGTTACATAATTTATTCCTATTTAATAGTTAAAAACTAAAGCTTATGAGAATTAGCAGCAATAATCAGAAAATCTTAAGCAAACAAAGTTTACAATAACTACAAATTTAATCATCAGGTATAATTTAATAAACAGACATTAGTATTGATAAATACAATCTAATTATAGATTAAAAATTCATTTCTGAACGTTTTAAAACAATGCATGCCTTTCCATAACTAAAGAAAAAAATTAGATGTAGGTTAAGAATATGTAACAAATTCTAAATAAAATAAGGCATTATTATAAACATGAAACAAGAGTTAAAAATAGTACTGACGCTTAAATTTTTATACATCAAAATTAAAGATAACCATTTTGAAACTTTTTTATAGCATTTAATGCACTTAACTCGTAAAATCTACTGAATACCCCGTATAATGAAAACTACATAAATTAGGAATATGTCCCTTAGAAGCGCTATATAAATTTATTTATTTCAATAATTAACTAAAAGTCTTGCCGTCTTAAATTCACATAGGAAATGCCATTGAAATGGTTCGTCCGAAAAATTGTTTGGAACGCGTTTGGAAGGAGGCGGGGTGAAATACGTCATCACTGTCCCTGTCTATTGAAACGGGTTTCCACCCTCCTCCCCTCCCAACGAACGGGGAGAAGTTCTCTTTTTATTTATTATTGGTTTGTTCTACATTTCACGCTATTAATAAACGGTACTGTACTGTTAATAAATATTTTTTTTTTGAAAAATCGTTTACATCATTGATTAAATCAGCTAACATATTTTGACATAGAAAGAAAGAATAAAACGACCGTTGACGGGAGACAGCTTAACCAACCATAGATTTAGACAACCGGTGACGCACCTCCTGACAGTCACTTCACTTCTTACGCTCATGCACTGGATCTTAGTACATATAATGCTCTGTTAAATCTTCCAGTATTTTGCTCAGCCAGTAAGCTGTTTTCCTGGTATAGCATACAAAACCAAGCAGTTCCCCGCGTTAGTTACGTATTCTAAGAGCTGCACTTCTTCTCTATTCTATATACTTTGTCCTAACTATAGAGGAGGGAAGAATTACTTCTAGATACGGAGATACTTGGATAATAAGGGATACACCCCTTTTCTCTCGAAGATAGCAAATCCATTTTCGAATGATTTTGTCACAGCCCAAGCCATATGAGCACTGGTCTAATAATGCTTTCCTATAACATAATTTTTGTTCTCCTTTTCGCTAATTTCGATTGTAGAAATATAAAAATTAGTTAAGCAACGATTAGCAGCGTCGTTTTTATTTCGATATGTAAATCGTTCGCGATTGAGCCAAGATAAATGAAGTCATTGACAAGTTCAAATTTGTGTTAATAGTTTGAAATTAATTGAAAAAAAAGCTCTGCAATAGTAAAATTAAATGAAAACTTTGAAACTCATTGAAATAATTCAACATTCTAAGCGACATTTTGCAAAAATTAATTAAACCATATGTTCATAATAAGGAACATATGCTAGTAAACATGTTTTGATTCTAATCTATAATAATATCTGGCAGCCTAATTCTGTAAATCTTGAAAAGCTCTTAAATATCACCTAAAATATATATATATATATATAGTACCAATAAAATAAGTGAAAAATATAAAGAAAACAAGGAAAAAACTAATATATTTAATATAATACAGAAGAAAAATTCTTACTAAAAAATGTTTTTAAACAACGTTAAAAATTTTTGAAAAAAACCACAAAGCAATAAAACAAAATAAGGAAAATATATAACCTCGTCCTCAGATCACACAATTATATCCACAAAAAGAGTGCTTTCTAATATTGTATTAATATCGCCAAAGCAAAATATATCAATACAATATTGTATTACAAAATAATTAATACAATATTGTATTACAAAATATATTAATACAATATTGTATTACAAAATATATTAATACAATATTGTATTGATATATTTTGCTTTCGCTTGATACATTTTGCTTTGGCTAGATTAATACAGTATTAGAAAGCATTTTTTTTTTCCAGATATAATCGTGGGAGCTTACGAGATTATACCTTTTCCTTATTTTGTATTTCGGCTTTTTAATTTTTTTTCCAAATTTTTAACTATTTTTAAAACATTTTTTTTATTAATTATTTTTCTTCTTCTCTTTAAAAATGTATTGTTTTTTCCTTGCTTTCTTTTTTCTTTTTAACTTATTTTATTGGTTCTATGCAGGCCCGTAGCCAGGGGAGGACCGTCGGGACTAATCCCCCCCCCCCGAAATTCTGGGATTCAAACTTTTTAGTCTTTCTTTGAGCCTCTCAGTAAAATGAAGAACAAAAACTGTCGAATCAAACCTTTTTTTAACTAACTTTATTAAGCATATTTCGGGATATTCTGGTTTGTCCTAAAAAAGTAATCGAAAAATTTTCTTCAAATCCCCATCGCATGTCTTTGTAAACTTTGTTTACAAATTGATTATAATTATTATGTAATATTAATCAAAAAATAAGTATTACGTAATATTTTTTTAATTACTAGTGTAACTTTTGCAAACAACAGAATAAACAATATTTGTTACAATATTTTCCCCCTACTTTGCATGTCTGCAACTGTCCTTGCNCTTACCCCCCCCCCCCCCGAAAAAATATCCTGGCTATGGCCTTGGTTCTTATGTACTTGCAGCTCATGCGCAGTAAATAAAACCCATTTTTCTTTATTTTCTTCGTTATTCTTTTTTGCCTCTTTGTCTCTTTCTTGTGTTATATATATATATATATACATACATACATGCTCATTTTAATTTTTCAATAATGACTAGCGAGGCGAGTCACATCGTGTTACAGATTGGGCCATTCATATTAGAACCCTTTGACGCAGATGGGACACCTCTGTCCATTTTTTGTATCTTTTTAAGACTAATTACAAGCAAAAACATATTTGGTTCTTTTTTTAATTAAAAAAGCTAATCCAATAGTTTAAAAAGAAATATGTCAGATTATCGGTATTTAAATTTGTACTAAAACATAAAATCGAAAAACAGCAGTTGGAAAAAAAATTTTTTTTCATTATTCAAAAATTTATCAATAATTGATTTTGTAAATTAAAGAAATTTCATTCAACTGCCTCTCTTAGATCTAATTAATTGCAAATAAGTGCAAGTTTGAAGATAATTGTTCGGAAGTGAGCCGTATTTGGTAGAATTTATCTTTAGAACAGAAAAAAACAAAACAAAAAACACCTGTGCTTCTTGCTGTATTTTATAACCATAAATTAAATTGGTAAATAAAATATTTTTAACTTATTGTGACCTAAGTTAATGCAAAATAAAGAAAAAAGTATGAAAAATAGGAATAAAAATTTTGCGTCAAAAGGGTAAAACAAACGTACTTGATTTTATAATAAGACTTCTTAAAGAAATTGAAGCATGTGTTCCAAAATTTTTTTTGCACTAAAATTGAAACTGACTAGCTTTCAAACTATTATTTAATCTAATTTTTTTAAAAATTTTTATGTCAAGGATTGTCCATCCATATTTGTGCGAATATACTTACGTAATATTACATGTAGATTTATTTCATAAAAAAAAAAAAAAAAAAACGGAAGCATGTGCACCAAAACTTTTTTCGTGTCAAATTGAAGCTTTTCTAAGGAAATGCCCACTTATATTAAGCTATTTTGATCCCTTTTTTATTTAAAACTGTTTCCATTTCGTGCGATTTGTTCGACTTTAACACATCAAACGTAAATTAAAAATTATGTTTCCTCTTCCTTGTTACAAATAGTTTTTCATTAAATTCCCTCAAAAATGTTTAGAAAAATCTATCAAATAACGCTTTTATAAAATTTTAGATACTCTAAAACATTGTTTTCCTATTTTAAGTTTGTTGGGAGACTTTAATAAAAAAATTTTCGAATTGAAAGTTTACTCGCTCGCAACAAAAATTTTGAAAATACTTTCACAATTTTGTGGACAGCAATTAAATTTTTTTCAGCTGTAACAATTTTTTTTCATTAGATTTCATCCAAAAATTAAGAAAAACTTAATTAAATATAATATTATGTTATTAGAATTTCAAAAATGTTGTTTTTCCTTTTTAAGGTTTTTGCGAGACTTAACAAACAAAAAAGGAAAAAAATTGATATCGAAAATCTAATTATTCGCATTAAAAATTGTGAGAATACTTTCACAATTTTTGTAGCGAACAAATCTACCTTTTTTTAAATTTTAAAATTTTTTTTTATTGAATTTCGTCGAAAAAATAAAGAAAAAGTTAAATATAATGCTATTTTCTCATTAAACTCTCAAAAATATTGTTTTTCTTTTTTAAGATTTTTACGAGACTCTAATAAAACATGCAAACAGAACAAATTGAAAATATAATTGTTCGCAACAAAAAGCGGGAAAATATTTTCTCAATTTTTGTTGCGAATGATTTCATTTAGTTTTTGTACTTGATTCTCAAGTACAAAAAGTTAGTTCAAGTTAGTTTTTTTTTTACTTGATTCTCAAAAATATTGTTTCATCACTCGAGGTTTTTTGAGACTTAAATTTAAAAAAAAAATATGCAATTTGAAAACTTAATTTTTTTGCTACGCAAATTGTGAAAATAAAAATCGAAACTCCAATGAAAAAAATATGCAAAATAAAAATTTAATTGTTCTCCACAAAAATTCTGAATATAAAAATAGTGATTTCTATAAAAAATATGCAAATTGAAAATTTAATTGTTCGCAATAAAAATTGTGAAAATAAAAATCGTATGCCTTATTAATATTTTAAGATAGTGGAGAATGGCAGAGGGCGGTGATGTATCGATCGATGCAGAAAGGGATGCTGCCGTCCTCCATTTCTTCCTTTGATCACACACAGAGACATCATCATGTTGTTTTTAGTTATTGTTCTAACCTTTGGCAGAGGAATTACTTCCCATGAGTTATGTCCTGATTCGGACAGAGAACAACTTAAATGGAGAAATAACACAACAGAACTAAACTATCTTCTGCATTCACAAAATGTAAGTTCTTTAATATTCTCTACGATATAAACCGTTTTCTTTCAAGAAACTATCTTAGTTGATTGTAAAGAACAGACACAATGCAAAGAGCAGACACAATTTAAATGATAACATGTGAATAGTATTATTAGTATTGAGGCTTCTTTTAGCCTCTATTTATATTATTCAATAATATGACTACAGATTATAGGCAATAAGTCGAGGGTATGCATTGCTTGCAAATAAATAACTATTATGATAATTTAACTTTTTACAAACACCATTTCAACATTTTTTTTAAATAATTTAAATGTTTGAAATAATTAAGTTTAAATAATTCATTCAGAAAATGTAAGTTCTTTTATATATTTCATTCTTTAGTATATAAACCATTTTTTTTTAATGGAAACTCTTAGGTGATTGCTAAGAGCAGGCACAACCTCTGCAATTTTTAGTATTAATTCAAATACTAATTTGCCAATGTTATTTATGATTTTTTGTCATGTATTTAAACTATTCAAGAATATGATTAGAGATTATAGGCAATATATTAGAGATTATAGAAAAACTTTGCCTGTTGCGACAATTTAACCTTTCAGACCATCACCATTTGAATATTTTTTAAAGGACTGAAATCTATTCCTTTTTCTAGACTGTACACATAGTCTTTATATATGCTGATGCTTTAGAATATAGATTTTTTAAATATTTAGTAAACAGGTTTTTTTTTTAACAAAGGGACATTTTATCATATACATAAAGTAAACTTGCAACAATAACATTAAACGCATGACCTTTTCCTTGTTTATACATTTTTTATCAGATTGAATAAGTTTTTTAAAAAACTTTATTTTAAGATGTCTTGATTTGTAACTTAATTTTGACATATAACAACTGAAACAAACATTCAATCAAGCATTATTTCGATTTTTTAACAACCATTAAAAAATCGAAAAATGGTAAAGTTTTTGCAAAACTGCTAACTTAATCAACTATGTCACAATTGGCAAAAAATACTAGGAAAAATATTTTTGAACTATTGTGATTCTTTTAGTATAAACTACTCATTTTGAACATCTTTCTTTCATTAAGAAAATATTTAATCTTCAAAATTGCCAATGCTGAAAGAAAACAAAACCTGCATTAATAAAAAAGATCAACGTGAGTTTAAGTTAAAACATCTCCAAAGGCAACTTTGAAACAAATCTTTATTGACCATCAAACTTCAGATATTTGCATTTATTTTTTAAAATCATCTCAATTTTGTTCGTATCTCAAATAAATGTGATTTAAAAGGGGGGGATATTTATCTACATGTCAGTTCAGTCTCAAAACGTATTTTTTCGTAATTTCCTTTTTTTTTCTAAATGCATTAACTTAAAATCAATTTTTCCCATTTTGTATAAATGATCTTAACAAATATGTCTTGTAAATAAACTAAGCACTAAATATTCAAAATATTATTTTTTTATTTTACTGTCAAATTTTGAAAAAAAAAATACTTGCATTGTTTCTTATCATTTTTGCCATATGCCTTGCGATATTAACTGTTAATTAATTTATAACTAATATTAAATTGTTACAAATTTCTCGGAAAAATGATTAAATAATAATTTATTCAATTGTTATTTTACCATATTTAAACATAACTTTCAAATAACCAAAAATAAGATGGTATTCACTGTTAGAAAACCTGCTTATTAACTGCTTTCACCTAATACGATAAAACAAACAGAATTTTATTGCATCAACTAGGCCCACCTAATGAAGATAATAAGTTCCTTTAGATGGGTACATATTATAGACGAGAAAGAAAATCTGTCAATCTTTTGTTCTAAGAACGGGGGTTCGAGTCCCAGCGTTGATAATACAATATTTTCCTCCATTCCCTTCAACACAGAATTGGGGAGTGCAGGGTACTGGAAACAGTATCCAGTATCATGAATTTCCCAATTTGTGATCCTGAGCTATTAGAATACTGTACTCTCATTCATGCAAAGATGGTGGCACCATAAAGTTGCTAAACTATCTCCAATATCCAGTTAAATTCCTTTTTTACGGCTCTGAAACCATGCTAATTGTAAATAATTAAAATACCATGTAGTTTTGTATCCATGGTTTTTTAACCATATCAGTTGTAAATGATTTCAAAACCGTAAAGGTAAAAAATGTTCTTTGCCATAAACTTTATGGTTAATTGGATGGACAGACTGCTGTCTGTTCTTTCCTCATAATTTCAGAATGAAAACTTTAACAGTGTATGCCTAATGTGTAGTGTCTTTTATAGTTTATGTTTTACAAACATTATTGAACAAATTTTATTAAAAAATAATAATTTAGAACAAAATAATGTGTTTTTTTTCTTCTTTCAATTTCCCAGTCCTGTCCAATTTATAATGCATGCACATATCTGAGAAATTCTTAACTAAATATAAAAAAATTTACCTCCGAAGGTATGCATATACCTTGAGTGCTAATATTCTGGTCAGCTCCTGCTAATATTCTTTTCATCTATAAATCAATTTCACCTTAACATGACAAAATAACAAAACTTTTTTAAGATTTATCATGTAAATAAAGATGTCATATAATTCACACATAAATAAGGTCTGAAAACCACTCAATTAAGTGTGATGCCTCAATATGTTTTTATTCTTTTGATTTCTAACTGCTTATTTTCATTTGAATCACTAAGTAGTAAAGAGGTAAAAAAATTAAGATTTTTTTTAGTGAAAGATACCTTTATAAAAGAAATTTATTTACTATTAAATTGTTAATAATAAATTTCTGAATTATTCAAAAATTACATTATTATTCACAAATTACATTAAACAAGAATTTTATAAATGCAAAGTGAATAAATATATATTTTAAGTAATGAACATTTTATAGAAAATTTATTTGAAAGTTTTTGGACTGTAAAAAAAAATATTGTTTATTTATTTTTTTAATATCAAACCTTAAATAATTTGAGAACATAAATAAAGCTCGGTGAGTTTATTATTAATGTATATTACATTCTTCCTTTTTTATTACTATTGCTATTGTTGACTAAAATATAGCGAATCAAAATTTTCGTACCGTAAATTTCAGTAATTTCTATTGCACTAAGACTATTTATCTAAGACATATATAACGAATTTTTTTAGCATTTTAATATAAAGCTACTATTGCTGAATCAAATCATTACATTATATATGTTTCTAATTTTGAATGAAAACTTTAATTCCCTAATAATGAAAAAAAAGAACATCAAACTTTTTGATTTACTAAACATTACAAAATAAATTTTTTCTCAAATATATATTTCCTTTTCTTTATCACTAAGAAACTAGGCAGTTTTCTTCACATAAAAGTTGTAACTTTCTCTGAAATTCTAATTTTTGTTAATAATAGAATATACAAGTGTAGGAGTGTAAATATTTATTTTTGTGCTACAAAACCATTTTATATCTGTTTGATGTTTGCTACATTCGCCTTTCTCTACTACTACCCAACAATAGTGGAACTGATACTCTCAGTTTTTGATTTTTTTTTTTGAATTTCTCAAGAAATACTTCAAAGGCTATTTTGTAAATGTGGAAGCTCTTGTGAATTTTCCAACTTTGCAATAATATCTAAAGCTTTTAGTGATTTGAGAGACCGACAATAAATTACGAAAGAATATAAGTATTTTTTGAACAACCTTTTCCAGAAAATCAAGCAATAAATTTGTAACTTGCATCCATTACTTTGATTTTTATTTGCAATGACTGCATAAAATTTCGTTAATCTAGCTTGATACAGATATGAACATTTTTATAAAAAAACTAATTTTTTTGTCTCATTTTTTTTTTGCTATAATTGTGGAAATATTCAGAAAAATTAAGCAAAATTTTTAAAGCAATTTAAAATTAATTACAAAATTATTGTTTTAAAATTTGAAAAAAATATGTTAATAAAAGCTCAAAATATGAATATTTAAAGTAGTTTTGTACTGCGCATTGTCAGAGAAATTTAAAATTATCTTTTCATAATTTTGTAGCTAATCGTATTTGGCAACTAATGGAAAAAATCTGATTTCAATATCTTAAAAATGTGAAAAGTTTCAAGCAATTTTCAAAATAGTTTTTGTACTTTTTCAAAATAAAAAATTCAAAACAAGAAAGTTATCAGGAACAAAATTAAATCTGTGGAAAATCCTTTCTAGTTTTGAACTTTCTTCTAAAAAGTACATTATCTACTTAGAAAAGTGCTTGAAACTTTTTATTTTTTAGGATATTTAAATCAAATTTTTTTCATTAGTTGCCCAATACGATGCGCTATAAAATCAAGAAAAAATAATTTAATATTTTTTCTGTACACGCTCAGTACAAAAGAACTGCTTTAAATACTTATATCTTGAGCATTTCTTAACAATTTGTTTTAAAATTTCAAAACAATATTTTTGTAATTAATTTTGAATTGCTCCAAAAATTTTGCATAATTTTTAATGAATATTTTTAAATTTATAGCAAAAAAAAGAGACATAAAAATTAACTTTTTTTTTATAAAAATGATCACATCTCCATAAATATTTAAGCTAGATTTACGAAATTTTACGTAATTATTGCAAAAAACAACCAAAGTAATCGATACGAGTTGCAAGCTTATTGATTGAATTCATGTTATAGGGTGTTCAAAAATACCTGCTTTCTTTTGTAATTTATAGTCTTTGCCTAAAACCTCTGAAAGCTTTAAACTTTATCGTAAATTGTAAAACATTGCATGCACCAAACACTTCTAAAATTACAAAATAGTCTTACAAGCATTTCCTGAAAAATACTATTTTCTTCCATTATTGTACGGTAGTTTACTTGGAATGAAACCACAATCTAAATAAATGATAATTATTTTATCATAGCTAAAAAATTCTTCTCGTGTGCAACTAAAATTCAATTTAATAGTTATATATATATATAAATATATATNAAATTTTGAATGGCATAAAACTGCAGCATATAGCTCACATTGTGTATTTCAATATGATGTAGTCATGAATGATATTACTTAAGGACGATCAACTTTGAAGCTATATATATATATATATACGTATATATATATATATAGATATATATTCATAAAATATGAATGTATATATATATACATTCATATTCATATTTTTATGAATACATATATTCAATATCAAAAATAATATTATAAAATGAATGAATTTAGTGATGAAAATTTCACCAAAATATCAATTGAGATGCTTCTGTGATATAATCTATTGTTTAAAGTCATTTTTAGAAATAAAAATATTGCTTCTGTTGCCATTAGGTTTTAAGAAATAGCCACTGTTCTTAGGTGTCTAATGGTACAACAGTCGGTAGTACATTCAAAATATGATACATAAAAAATGTGACTTTTATCATGATTTTATTAAATTTTTTACCGTCGTTGAACAGCCGACCCAATTTTGAAGCTACCAATGTTCAATTCCATAGCCTTGTAATTTTAAACCCGATCCAGAAGACAAGGGACCTCCTGGATCAAGTATCGGGAGAAATTTTGCCTTCATGGAGGACGTTTTGATAGAACTAACCCACATTTGGGTTATATGGAGAGGAAAACCACGAAAACCTCACACAGTTGGCCTGAAGGCAAGGGGATTCTAACCCATGATCCGCCTACCAATGAGAATATTTTACGCCACCTCGTTGTTAGCGTATTTAAGGTCTACCCTAGAAATCATTCAGACTTTTAAGGACAAAACTCACTCAACAGATAAAAAATCTAGCATAATGAGGAACATCATTGCAACAATAAAACATTCAAGCATAATTTTCTAAAAACAGACGACATATTGAAACATTCTTTAGCATGTTCGTTGAAAATGTTGTAAAATCTAAAGAATGAATTTTTTTTTTAATCTAATTATATTTACAAAATGAGTTTATAAATAATTTCTTCATTTTGTATAGTGTGACTTGTAATAGAATAATATTTGAAATATTAGAGTAATTAAACATATTATTTAGAATTTTATAAAAAATAACAAAGACCATAACAATAGAAATTTTGCATTGTTAAACCATAAACAGGTTCAGTTGTTTTAAAATTATTTTGCTCTTTATTATTATGGTATTTCAAGGTAGAAAAAATGAAATAACGAAGGTTTGTAATCGATCAAAAATTATCAGACTCATTTTCTTTTCTTTTGTTCTGTACTGTGGGGGGGGGGCAAAAAAAACGGACCACCCTGAATAACTTTTGATCTAAAATGATCGATCTTCCCGGTTTAAGACTCAATCTTAATGGTTGAAGGGAAGGGGTACTCAAGTATGCAAATTAATTACGGGACTAAAGAGAATAGAAGGGCTAATTCATTCCGCTCTTACAGCTGAAGCTACGATTTCTCTCCTCATGACGTCACTGTATACACAGATTTCGGAGATCGCTAGCAAAGATATAATAACTTTGCATCTTTCTCTCTGTAAAAATAAGTTAGATTTTTTCCAATTATTAGATTTCAAACTTTACATAATTAACACATTATGTCCGTTCATAAACATAGTTCAAAAAAAATTTCTTGGCCATTATATTAAAAAAATACCATTTTAAACTTATAAAAATATTTCACTAGTTGGCGAAAATGACACTATAAATATTTTATTTTAAAAAGTTCAGTTTTAACTTTAATTATTAAGAAAAGCATATATCGACACTTTTTTATCTACATAATCTTTGGTAACTATAAGTTGGGTTAAATTTAGAATCCTGATTTTAAAATATGCCTTTAATAGCAATTTGTTCATACTTAATCATTAGGAAACATCAACCTTAAACGCTAATTACTGAAACAAAATAATATTGGTTCATAATGATATTTGAAATTTTACAATTGTTTATAGATATTTAAATTTAAGATAATATAATTTATAGATATTAAATTTTAAGAGAATATAATTTAAAAAAATCATAAGCATTTAGAATAACTTCATTAAAAAATATGTTATGAAATTAGGAGAATTTTAACTATATACTATATATTTTATTTACATTTTTTATTTACATTTTTTATTTACGCTTTAATTTTCTTTGACTTTATCCATTTTTAATTTTTTCGCTACCTTTCTTTTTGAAGTAACGAGGCGGTTTCTATTTAGATGGGGAATTTTTATAAAAGTTCTTAACGATAGAATAAACGTATTGCTGTTTTATATTAACTGTGTCATTTCGTTTGCAATTCGTTAAATCCATTCTTTACGTAGTTGTTCATTTACTTTAGGGAGCACGTGGAAAATTATATTTTTTCCTTTTGTGTTTCCATCAGAATTTTTGCAAATTGCAATCGCGCAAACTGGCATTTCATAAATAGTTTTAAATTTTTGTAAATTCACTGCAATAAACTGAGGAAAATCATTTTATAAAACAACAAATGTCTTGGAATATGTCACAAAAAGGAATGCTCCAATATTAGTTAGAGCTAGTTAGACAGAACGCTTCGTTCTTGAAGTAAAAGTGCAAGCTTCACGCCACAGTGACGTCACTGGAGAAAATCGGAGGTTTGGCGTGGCGAGAGTTTCTTCAAAGGAGTGAAACAGCCCTTCTATTCTCTTTAGCCCTGAATTAATTAGTGCAGACGATATTTTAAGTTACGAAATAGGACACAAAAACGCACTTTCTCTCAATAAACATACTTTTTTTCGAAAAATTCGGATTTCTGACTTTCAAAATATAGCCGCAATCTAGGAAATTTGGCCTCAATAGTTTGGTCAGGAGAGCGCTCTAAAGTTTGGACCTCTTAATATTAATTTTTACTTTCTGCATATTTCGAGAACTTTTTAAGCGAATAAAAAGATTTTTGCACAGAATTATAGAATTCGTTTATTCAAAGATAAATCCATGCAAAATATAACTTTTTGTAAGTATTAATTATTTTTCATTTTTTTTACGTAATAACAGTCAAGAAAATTTGTAAGGTATACATCTTTTTAGATTCTTTTTAAAGATATAATTTTGCATGGCAAAATACAAAATTTGTATAAAATCTGACAAACAGTTCCCGAGATCAAATTTTTAAAAAAATCGCATTTTAAAAACTCAGTTTTTCAGGTACTTAATTTGACCAATGTCACTCAAATTTTGTATTTTTTTCACGTAAAATTATATCCTTAAAAATGATGTAAAAATAGATCATATTTTTAAAAAAATCGTATTTTGAAAACTCAATTTCTCAGGAACTATTTGACCAATTTCACTCAAATTTCGTCAAGTAAAATTATATCCTCAAAAATGATCTAAAAAATTGTATACCTTACAATTCAAAATTTTTTCGACTGTTAATAAATAAAATTATAAAAATTAAAAAATATTTATTTAAAAGTTCCTTTTTGCATGGAATTATCTTTGGATAAATGAATTTTATAACTGTATGCAAAAATGCTACAATTATCTTGAAAATTTCTCGAGACATGGTGAAATACGGAAAAAGTGAAAATAGCAATAAAGGGTATAAATTTTGAACCGCTCTCCTGGCCAAACTATTAGGACCATATTTCCCAAATTGCTATATTTCGGGGGTCAGTCTATATATCTGTCCAAAAAAAGTTATGTTTGTTTAGAGAAAGTACATTTATGTGTCTGATTTAGTAACTTAAAATATCGTCTGCACTAATTAATTAGCATATTTGAGGTCACCCCCCTCTAACCATTAAGATTGAGTCCTGAAGATCCGATCTTTGATCAAAAGTTATTGTAGGTGGTCCGTGTTTTATTTTGCGCACTGTACAATTGTTTATTGAAACTCCCTATAACTCAACTACAGTAATAAATTCTAACCAATTGACTACAGATACATTAAATTTTAAATAGTCAAAAGTTGATTCGTTTATTTATTTTCTTCGAATAAATATTTTTCTGATTAAACATTACCTTCTAAGAAACTGGCTGAATTATTAGAGGGTTTACTAATCACATTACATTTATATTTTCACACAATTCCATCGAGCACTATTATAAATTTTTATGTCTATTTTACTGATCACAAAACTAATTTCTTCTAGATTGTTTGTTACTTTACAAGAAAATGCGCTGAAAGTAATCTAACGGAAGATGTTTTTATACAAGCAGATCACGTGATTCAACTTGAGCTTCAAGAAGGGGACTGGTTAATGTAAGTAATACTCTTCTAAATTTAAAATTTTCTATCTAAAAGGAAATCTTTAAGAAGATGTAAATAATTTAAAGTTTAAGCACGCTTCGTAGTTGTCCTGATGAAAAATATTTAGTTCTTATTTGTCCTGATTTCTTTCTTGAGGGTCTTGATTTTGTGCGTCTTCAGAAGATTCCATTTTTTACAAACGCAAATTTTAAAATAATCGATGTGAAGAATCTAACTTGTCAATTGAACATCTTTTTATTTTAATTAATAATGCTAGAAAGAATCACAAAATTCCATAGTGCAAACTTAGGGACAATTTGTTATTTATATACATGGTTTAGGTATATAACCTTACCTTTTGGGAATTCAGTCTTTTTATGAAGCAAAAACTCAACTATTTAACCTTCCAGCACGCGTGCTCAGTAATTTTACATGAGCGTGCCTGCGCTGTATTTTTTACGACAGCTGTTTTTTTTTACCGTTTTTGGCACAGTAAATGACAGAAATGAATATGCTAACAATAATTTTGTTAAGAAATAATCGTATCATATATAAGAATCCCATCTTTTCCACTATTAAGGTAATAGTACAGTCTGTATCTCTTGAGTATCGATTTTAGAAAATTAATATATTTATTTATATTATACACTCCGAAATTTCATCAATCATATTTAGGTCAATTATTTTTAGAAATGATTCTATTTCATCCTCTATATCCTTAGCATGGTGGTCTAGGCCAAGAGACACTATTACAATATTTCTCTTTTTCGTTTTTCAGCAGTTTGCATACTTTCCTCACTTAGAAGGTTTATCCTTGTCAACATGGAACTTGTCACCATCATTTCTTTCCCCTGAATTATTATTATCAAAATTGCCCAAAATATATATTTTTTAGATTCACTACTGATATCATTCATTTCTTTATCTTCTTCACTCCAATCGTTATCAATCTTAAATCCAAATGTTTCATTCTCTTCTATTCTTCGTCGAACAATTCTCGAAGAAAGCGAGAAAAAATTAAAGATCGTTATAAAAATTATAAATTCGATTTTGTGCAAATTAAAATAATACACGCCATTTATTAACACAAAATTACAAAACACTTGAAAAATAAATATTTTTCAAATTTCACCCTCGACCACGAGCGTGTCGTAAATTTTACGAAGAAATAATCACCTAGCACAAAACCTCGATTGAAAATAAAAATTGTCACATGACTTCCTGTTGGCACATTCCATGATTTGGGGAAGGGTTGAAAGGAGGAATAAAAATGATCTTTAGATGTCTCAGCTGCGATTCGCGAAAAAATTCATATTAAAAGACAAATTTGTCGTAAAATTTGTGCAGACGCGCACACTGGAAGGTTTACTCAAACAACAGAAACTCAATTACAAATTTTAATTAAATACTCGTACACTGTAAAAAAGGGTTTCTCACAATATGGCAAAAATGTGTCAAAATAGCTTCGAAGCAAATACAGTTGAACTTTGAAAACCTCTTCAATTCAAAAATGAAAAAGCTTACTATTCAATTTTAAGCTAAATGAATAGTGCAAAATGCCCGTTCAGCCACCTGGCCGGTTCAGTTCAGTTTATGAAATCAAGTTTTATTTTAAAAATTTCAACACGTTTTCATTAAATACTTTGAATTTTACTGATAACTTTAAAAAAAAGAGAAATAAATAAAAAAAGAAAAAAGAATTTTATGTCCAATGGTAGCATTTTAAAGACGAACTCACGTAAAAAGTTTACTCATCGGAATATTTGATGAATATAGGTTTCCCCGTGCAATTAATTTTGAAATTAAAAATAAATCATGCTTTCCAAAAATACTATTATTTCAACTGCTTCTTTGAGCAAAGATACAAATTGAATCCAAAGTGTATGGCTCCCGTAAAATTTTATTTATGTTCAAATTTGCATGTTTCTGTTATTGATTTCAAATGGTTTTTGAAATTTTTAAATTAAAACAAGTATGTATTTATAAAATGCTCCGATTTTATTTTGAATATTTATAAAAGCTACAACTCGAATGCAATGTCTATGGCATTATTTTAAGGATGGATACTTGAAGAAAAAATTTTAAGATCTAAAAATGAATATAGATTTTGCTGTGCAAATTTGCTAATTTATTTTCAAATGTATTTCTGGTAGGATTAAAAGTTACGATATGTTTGCAAAATGTAGGCATCATCATAAAAATGGCAACTGGTAAAAAACATTATTTTATAAAAGGAGTTTTCGCTTATGTTAAATTATGTTAACTTATTCTGCTTATTAAGCATATCAATACAACGCTGGAGTCTATGTGTTTTAAGCTTCTATTAGTGATTTCATTTATATGAATAATATAAATTTTTTTATTGTAATAAAAATTAGTCGTTACCAATATGCATCATTTGTTTGCAGAAAACTTATTTAAAATTGTTAAATATAACAAGTTCAAAAATTCAAGTTTTCTTATTTTATATTAATCATGCTATCATGTCTTTTTACAATGTAACTGTTTGTTAAAATTTAAAAAAATAATATTACGTGATACTTAGTATTTTCATTACTGCTATTGACTAATTTTTATTAATTTAACTTTATTGATTTTAACTGTTATTACTGATTAAAAGTTTAAATGAGTTTTAAGTAACTATTCCTTATATTTTTTGGTCCAATAACTTCAAAATAAAATCCATGGGCAAAAAATTTTATTAGTAAATAGCTGAAATTTTCATTATTTTAAATCTCCTTTAATCGATGTTAGATATAAACATTTATCCGAAAAACAAGAAATTTTTTCAATCACATACAACGAATAATATTGTTTTGTAATTAAAAATATTTAAAAGAAAGTATTAAAGATACGTTGAACTGTTCATTTATTAAAACAATGTTAAATAACTAGATTTAAACAATCATATCTGTAATGAAAAATGAGTTATGATCCTTTGTTGTTGTTTTTTTAACTTATAAAAAAATTCTCCGAATCTAAAAGTAACATCTTACTAAACTCTCCGATACTTATTTCGTAAAATTTAATAGCTTTATATTTTTATTTTAAAAGTTAAATAAACGCTCACTGCATCGCGTTTATTCATTGAAAACGTCTTTTAACTCCAATGAAAACACGTATTTGCTTTTAAAAATATATTAATTTCTTTTTCTTTTCTACATAGAGGAAAAAAGCAGGGTCAAAACTATCAGAATATGCAAAATTTACCGTGTTTCTTGGCAAACTCAAATCTCTTTACTACCAAAAATCTCGGTAATTTTTACCGAAGCGCTTTGGTAATGATTTTAGTAAAATTAATCATAAAATATAACTATGGTTTTATATGTAATAAAATTTGGTAAATGCAGTAAAATTTGATAATTTTAACATGATTCTTGCATGATGTAAAAATCATTTATTCTGTAAAATGTACATTTCAGTCTTACACTTTTACTGAATGTGTGGTAAAAACAAAACTATAACTAGGTTCCAGTAAATCATTACCATATGAAAGAAAAATTTACCAAACACATGGTTTAAATACCGTATATTTTGGTTTTATTATCAGAATTATGATTTTTTTGTTTTTACCAGAAATACCATTACTATACAGTACAGTAATTTTGATGACATTTTCTTGTCAATCGTTGAGGGGCACCTTAAAATTTTTGTTATTATTAAAAGAAAACTGATGATAAGAGATTTCATCCTATTTAAATTTTAAATATATTTTTTTTTCATCTTTAGGGTCATGTACCACAACTAAAATAAATCCGGATGAAATGTTTGATACGTATATTAAGTTTCACTTCAGTTTTTTTTTCTTAATTAATTGAACAATTAGTAAAAACTAATATCACCTTTACCAGAACATGAGATAGGAGTCAGCTTAAAAGTTTTTAATCCACATTAAATATTTATGACGATTTTTTTGTTGTTGAAATTTAAGACAATATTTATCAATAACTATGAAAATAACAACAGAAAGCTTAGAATGTGCATATTTATTTATATTATTTCAATTTGCTTTCAAGAGTTTAAATAAATGGATTTAGATTTTGATATTTATATTGTTATTGATATTTATATTGTTAATTATGATGTTTTTTGAAAATTAAAAGTTGTGATAAAACTTTCTGGAGTGAAAGCAAAGTATACATATTAGAAATATACGTTTAGAAATTGAACAAATAGAAAAAAAAATATTAATAACCTTGACTTGAACGGGGAATAAGAAATCAGTTTGTTTCGTATAGAGTGATACTGAAACACTTTTCTTCCATATTCATTTTTTTTTTGTCATTTTTTTAAAAATAAATGTTTATCAGCAACTGTAAAAAATAACAACCTTAAGCTTAGAATGTGCACAGTTATTTTTTAAATTTGCTTTCCGGTGTAAAAACAAATGAGTTTAGATTTTGGCTTTTAAAATTTCACGAAACAACAATGATTTTAAATTCTCTTTAGCATCGAAACAAAATAATAATAATAATTTATTATTCACTAGAGCGGGAGATAACAATCAGTTTTATTTTGTCTCACTATTTGAGGGATAATGAAACGTTGAAAACTTTTCTTTCTCTAATCATTATTTGTCTTCTTTTTTTTTAATTTTAAAACAATATTTATCATCAACTGTAAAAATATTTATCAACAACTGCAAAGAATAGATGAAGGTAATTTATCATTTTTTTCGCCGTTTCTCAGTATTAAAGGGATACTGAAACTTTGAATATATTTCTTCCATATTCGTTTTTTTTTTTTTGTCATTTTTTAAAAAAAATTTAAAACAATATTTATCAACAACTATAGAAAATAACAGCTTAAAGCTTGGAATGTGCACATTTGTTTTTGTTATTTCAATTGCCGGCCAGGTGGGCCGAGTGGTTGGCGTGTCTGACTGCGGAGCCAATGGCCGCGGGTTCGAATCCCGCTCTGGGCATGGATGTTTCTCTCTCTGTGTTGTCTTCTGTTGTGTGAATGAGTGAATGTGGCCCACCCTATGAACGGGTTTGTGGCAGTCAGGCGTGGGTAACGTTGCTCGTCTCCGTGACTTTGGTTCACAGGTGCCCACTGGGTAACGCTAAATGAGTAACAATCCCGGCATCTTCTAAGGCGAAGAGCGAAGAGTTCAGTGCCTGCCATTATAAAAAAAAATGTTATTTCAATTTGCTTTCAATAGTTATAATAAACGGATTTCGATTTTGGCATTTAACTTGTTAGGAAGGTAGAAAATACGCAGCTTTAACATATAAAATGATGTTTTTTAAAAATTAAAAGTTGTGATAAAACTTTCTGGAGTGAAAGCAAAGTATATATATTAGAAATATACGTTTAGAAATTGAACAAATAGAAAAAATAATAATAATAACCTTGACTTGAACGGGGAATAAGAAATCAGTTTGTTTCGTATAGAGTGATACTGAAGCACTTTTCTTCTATATTCATTTTTTTTGGTCATTTTTTTAAAAATAAATGTTTATCAGCAACTGTAAAAAATAACAACCTTAAGCTTAGAATGTGCACAGTTATTTTTTAAATTTGCTTTCCGGTGTAAAAACAAATGGGTTTAGATTTTGGCTTTTAAAATTTCATGAAACAAGAAATTACGCAGCTTTAGCGTATAAAATGATGTTTAAAAAAATTAAAATTTATGATAAAACTTTCTGGATGGAGAATACATATTTCATAAAACGTAAACTGGAAAAAGTAATGGATGGATAATACATAATGTTTTCATTTAATTAAAAAGGAGAAAAAAAGCTTAAAATTTGAAAAAATTTTAAATTTTTTTTGAAGTTTAAAATTTGTAGAAGTTTATTATTATCCATGCCCTGCTTAATTTAAATAGCACCTTATTCAGAATAGAATGTAAAACTAATTCAGTTTCTAATGAAGAAAAGCATCATTTTTTTAAGCTCAGTATGGAGAAAAAAAATTCTTCTTTTTCACTGTTTTAATTTTGTAATCAATGCAAACAAAATATCTAATAAGCAGGAAGGTCTCAGGTTCGAATCCCGCTCGGGGCATGGGTGTAATTTATCTTTCTGTTGTATCAGTTTTTCTTGTTATCTATAGTTTCATCAATTACAATAGAATGACGAAATGTTTTTTTAATTTTGACGGAATACGTTTCCTCGAAGAAGTGACGAAATTTTTGCTCGGAGCATATACTAGGAAACGGTTTCGTCAAAAACATAGAAGGTTTCGTGAAATTTGAGTATCCATTTATTATAGTGCATGTTTCAAAGAATGCGGCTACCCCCTTCATATTTTGAGGGTCTAATATTCGTATTCAAGGGAAACAAAATTTATATTTATTCAAGTTTATGTGTATGATATCGTAGCTAAAAATATCCTCTCTGCATCAAAAATAGCGTATTTAAGGTTTGCTCCTCAAACCATTCATAGGACTCAATCTTAATGGTTCGTTTGAGTGACTTCAAATATGTTAATTAATTATTGAAGACGATATTTTAAGTTACAAAATCAGACATAAAAACGTACTTCCTCTAAATAAACATACCTTTTTTCGATGGATTCGAGTTTTGTACCCACAAAATTTTGAATTTTGCCATAGAAAATTGCATACTTTAAAATGATGTAAAAAATTGCATTCCTTATCATTCAAAACTTTTTCGACTATTATTAAAAAATGATAAATATGTATAAAAATTTATTTTTCGCAAAGAATTATCTTTGGATAAACGAATTTTATAATTATGTGCAAAAATTTTTCAACTCACTCAAAAACTTCTCAAGATATGGCGAAATGCGCAAAAAATAAAGTTAACATTGAGGACTCAAACATTGAATCGCTCTCCTGACCAAATTATGTGAACCCTATTTCCCAGCTTGCGGCTATCCCCTATATCTTGGGAGTCAGAAATCTGAATCAGTTGAAAAAAAGGTATGTTTAAAAAAATAAGGTAAAGGTGTGTAGCTGATTAATATCCTACAGAATAGATGTGTGAAAAATTTGTATCTGCAACGAAACGCTTTTTGTACATAAAAATTATTTTTTGCTTAATTTTTCTACAATTGATGATTACATGAATGAACTGATATTTTAGTTAAAAGTATGAAATTAATTAAATATTTTAGTCAAAACAGTTTGTATAAATATATATTTATGCCTGAAATATCTTAATATAAAATACTAAGAGATTAAAATATTATTATTCGTATTAATAAAATATTTATAACTATATATATATTTGAATTTCTTAATTGTTTTTCTCATGACTTAGAATCATCCTAATTCTAAAAGAATGTTATGTAAAACAACAACAGAAAAAAATATGTCTTTTTCACAAATTCTTGTAGTTAAAAATTAAGCTTGTAGCAAAAACATAAAATTTCCTGACCATTTTAATTCATTTCAAAAAATAAAAAAAAATGCTTTGAAGACTTAGCACGATTAGTTTGAATTGAAAAGAATTTTATAGCGATAATAAAGAATGTAATGTGTAAAAAAACTACCCAATTATTTTTAAAAATTATTTCTTGACAAAACAGACGAAATTATAAAAGGCTGTTTTTATGCTAATTTTACACCATCTTATGAATTTAAAAAAAAAAATTTGAATTATTTATTTGATGAATTCTGAAGAGATGAAAATTTATCCTTTTTGCTATTTTTAGTTTGCAGATGAATCTTTCCGGTAGTACCGAAGAAGAAATGGAAGTATTTATTGATCCACTTCCAGAGAGAGAAGCTATTTCATGTAATTTAGCTGTTCTCCCTGTACAAGCTATGTCTCATTGGAAAGTAGGCATAACAGATAATATTACTTTGAAAGATGAGCTCCTTCTAGCTGGGACACACATCTTTAGCGGTATTTTCTTTCTTACTCATTAGAATGTGTAAGGATAGGAACTTAACACGTTCACGCCGGGGTGACCCACCGGTGGGTCACGCTATATTGTCTCACCTTGGCAGCGCACCGGAGTAAAAACTGGTAAAAATAAATTTCATTGTTTAGTTTTTTTCCGGGAATAATAAAAATCCATAACTACCAATTGTTTTTAACGGGTGCAATTTTTATATTGAATTGCTTCCTCGCCGTTATAAATTTCCTTACAGTGAATTGTTATTGTTGAGAATAGATTAACTCCTCTCGAATATTATCTAATATTGAAATAGTTCTTCTACCAGTATTTTCTCTTTTCCTGTACCAGTATTTTCACTTTTCCCGGCGTGAACGTGTTAAAGCAGTGTGACTTCTGTTGTTGCAGATTAGATGACAAATAACTTATGTTAGGGTAATAAGATGTTAGTTTAAGCAGAACTGTTAATTCATTTTTGCTAGTTATTTATTGTTAGCTTGTTTTTTTATGGTTATTAATTGCTTTTTTGGCATTAATTGTGTATTTTTTTGTTAATTTTTTGTGAATTTTAAATTAATTGTTAATATGCTTCATAGTGAACTTTGTGATCGGTGGCGTGCCCAAAATATAGCGTCACGTGCCATAAATGGTACGCGTGCCATTGGTTTGCCATCCCTGCTATAGGCCATTTCTTAAAACGATATAACAACACTCCTGGATGTTTAGGGGAAAATTTTCTTCCGCAAAATTTGTGGCAATCTATTCCGTGTATTGACGGAAAAAAACCAAAGAGTTTCATAAAATTTTTTTGTTTTGTCCAGCAACAGAAAAATGAACCATGAAATTTCTACTTAATGGTTGATTCTTTAAAAAAAATTTTCTCTATTCTCGGCTTCCAATGTAATCACAGCAAATAAAATATTATCAATGTTTCTTTTTTCCATTTCATTTGTTACTAAACTGATAGTCGGTTGAGTAGTTCAAATATTTGATTAATTAGGTAAATTATTTTTAGTTTGAACATGAATACCAGCGATAGGCTGTGAAGTTTCTTACATCTAAAATATAACAGTTCGAATTCAAAAAATGTTTTAGACAACTGGATGATGGCATGTTTTCCGGAATCAAGCATTTTATTAAATGCTTTTTGGTTGATTGCTTGAAAAAATGTCTGGGTTGACTTGACTACTTACAAGAAAAAAAATTTAAAAAAATAGAAATACGTATGATAAAATTCCCACCTTACAGTGGATTTTTAAATAAAGTTTTGACTAAACTCAACTTCCATTGCAATTTCAGGAAATAAAATATTACCATTGTTTCTTTTTTCTGTCAATTTAATCGAAGTCAATTGAGTAGTTCAAATATTTGACTAATTAGGTAATGATTTTTAGTTCGAACATGGATACCATCGACAGGCTGTGAAGTTTCTTGGATCTTAAATATAACAGTTCGAACGCAGGAATGTTTCCGACAACCTGATGATGACGTTTGTTCCGGGAAAGGTGCTTGCTTCACTGATCCCACAATGGTAGGTTTCTATTGTATTGTTATGTAACCAGCTCTTTTAAATATTTTTGAATCTTTGTTAGAAATGGAGTGAAAAAACATTTATAATTGGGATCGCAAATTCACTTATCTTTTCAAAAGATCAAGTATGGTCTAATAATGAAATAAAATTCCGAGACAAAACCAGTCACACTGTATTGATGTATATTTGGAAAATTACTTATATTTTCCAATCAAAAATATTATTTTAATTGAGAAGCACTAAAATTTTCACCAATATTTATGAAAATCAATGCGAGTAAAGAAAGAATCAACTAGAATATGATTATTGGTTAAGTGAAACTTGGATGAGTTTGCTAAACAACGTTTACGTTTTAGTTTCGTTCTCGAATTAATAAGTTTTATTATTAGCACTTATTTCTTGTGCTTCGATTGATTGTAATAATTATTGGCCAAACTTTGAGGCGTATTTTTATCACTTTAATAATAATTTGCAATCCTATTTCGCATTTTTAGATACTATATTCGATATAAAAACAGTGGAATTCTCATTTCATTATAAATATTAATATTAAATTAATCTTTGAATACAAAAAACTTAATTCAAACACCCATTTTTTGGCAATTTTTACCTCGTAAGATTTTATACGTTTAATACGTGAAAAATGTTCTGAAATTCTTCCACAATGCTTTATGCAGAGAAACTCAGCTGAAACAAATTATAAAATTTAAATTTTGAGGTTTCTACCATCATTTAGCGAACCTTTCAAATGTTTTTATCTTTTTAATTAAGATAAAAAACATCGTCAATAATTTTAAAATTGAATTTTTATTTACATTTGCATACAATTTTATGAATTTTTATTTACAGACAACATTTACTTGTCACTGTTGCCCAGGGTATGTTGGACGATTTTGTGAAGAAAAAGACGGTTGTTACGCTAATCCTTGTCAACATGGTGGATTTTGTGTAGATATTACAGAAGGACTTACAGGCTCAACATTTCAGTGTTTATGTCCACATGGTAATCACAAATATTTTCTTTCTCTGCTTAATAATGGAATGTTGGAATGCTTCTCAAACAGCTCAATTTTTTACAATCATGAAAACAAAGCACCGTAAAAAAGCGCTGGAAGGAAATTCAACAGAAAAAAAAGCACTATTCATTATTACATAAATTTAACGCCTGATTCTCTTCGAGCCGTTGAATCCGAATTTAATACAATTAAATAATTATTCGAAGATTATTAAATATTTTTAAAATAATTAATTAATACTCAAAGTTTAATTTGAAGTAGAATGAAAGTAATTTTTAATATTTTATGCAATTTTTTTCAATAAATAATATATATTGTATTATTATAAATAATGTATTAATTTACAATGCATTCATTAAATTAATGTATTTTGACTAACTTTCTTTATCTGAATATGTTTAAGATTAGCACATTTTAGCATCAATTGATATTTTCACTCCCTTAAATTTTGCTAAAAATAAAGGAATATTAATAATAAATAAAAAATAAAATGAAAAATAAAATAAAATTATAATTTTTTTTTCAAAATTGTTGAATATTTTTAAATTCTTCGATCAAATCTTTCAGAAGAAAAAGGACGATTCATTTCAGTGTAAAATTCGTACTTGCTACATGTTTGCGATTACTTATTGTTGGGTAAAACGAAAAGTATTTCTTTTTTTGTTCAGAATTTTGCAAGGTAATGAGCATATCAAAACAATGAGTAATTTATTCTCCATACTGAAAGGGGTACAGCTTGTACAAATTTTGTATTAAAATTTAACTGCTTTTTAAAATTTTAAATTTACTGTAAGGATTGCTGCTGCTTTGCTTTTTATGGATTATTGTGACTGATAGTTGGTGAATGAAATCAATTAGTCCGAATTTTTATAAAAGTTTCTTGCCTACATGGAAATCGTAGTCTTCTGAACCATCGAATGTACTGAGAATGAACTAGTTTAAAATCTTCCTTCTAGGATATCGGGGACAAGCATGTGATGAAGAAGTAAATCTTTGTGAAAGAAGACCTTGTTTGAACAATGGTACATGCAAAGGTAATCAAACAACATACTGGTGTGAATGTCCTCCAGGATATAGTGGCCGTCACTGTGATGCTAATGTTAATGAATGTCTATCAAGTCCTTGTGTCCATGGTGTTTGCGAAGATGGACTAAGTGGTTACAAATGTTACTGTCTACCAGGTAAAAAACTTTTTCTTTGATTAAATAAAACTATTACACACTTTATGTATTGGATACCAATTATTAAAGTTATTATTTGAGATGGCATAAAGTCTCTATCGAAATCTATTTCATGAAAATTAGGCAGCGACAGATTGAAAAGATGAATCTCACTCAAAAAAATAATTCTGAAAATTATTTCCCAACAAATTGACTTTCCAGACTTGAATCCTTCTAAATTTCAGACTCAAGGACATGGTCTACTGTCATTGTCACAAAATTAAAAATAACATAGCTTAACATTCCCCGGTACTATATGCTGCTTTTAACTATGAAACATGTGATTTCAAAATTTTTGATGGTGACTGACTGTGATTTTGAGTGTGTTTTGTAAAAAGGAGATATTTCAATTTTGCAGTTTCAATAAATAAATAAAACAACGTATGTAATACATTAGTGATTTTGAGAGAAAAAAAACTTTTTTGCTGGATTAAAATCTCATTATTTCATAAAGCCATTACCGAATTTTCTAGCATGCTGCATATTTTTTGCTAGAAACTCTAAACATGAATTCCCTGTATCAGAGCCACCCCATAAAAACGTTTCAACTTATTATTCAATTTTATATACGGTAAATATTTAGTATTTTCAATAAAACAAACAAACTCAAAAACTTAATTTTCTGCATCAATATACCATCAAAATTACTTAAAACAGATGTAACTAAGCAGAATTTCAATGATAAAGCACTTGATAATTTACTGCAAAGAGGGATAATCAACTATGATTATTTTTTTTACTATACTCTGCATCAAAATTATCTCTTACAAATTTTATTACGATTTGAAGACACAGGTTGGTTAAAGTTAAATTATTGGTAGTCAGAGTACTTTGGCTGGTATTTAAATGGTACTCAGACGCTCATAATTTTAATTGCACTGAAAAGGACTGGTTATATGTTAATTAGGTTAAAGAGTCGGTGATTGCGTTAAAAAGTTGTCGGAAATTTTGCCAATAGGAAAACTATTTGTAAATTAAGCATATTAGCAGTCATTTGCATATTGTTTACCGACAAAGAATGTACTCTTCTTATTCGCGATCACAATGAACTATAGGGGGCGTTGTTGTATGAGAAGAATTCCTGCGATTTCTATATGAATAGTCATTCAGTTGCTCTGGGGACGTCTTTAATGTAGCGTGCAGTATTATAACCTTCCTTCTTTATTTAAATTTAAAAAAGAAAAATGTTTGATATTCTTTCTTATGCAAACGAAAACAAAATGGTATCTCTTTTTTTTTTACAGAAGGAACATCCAAAGCACATCGGAAAAAAATATGTTTCTTCTTATTAGTGTTAAAACCATTGCCTGCGAAATCGTTTTGCTAAATTTAATGATGTAACATGAAATGCTTATTTTAACTTTACTTTTTATAGTTTTATGAATCATATTACTTCAAACACTGAAATATGCAGAAAGTATACAAAGTGCATAATTTTATATCATTTAATTTTGCAGAAAAGGTTTTTTGATAACAATTTTTATCAAAAAATTTTAAGTTTCAATAAAAATTATTATTTATAAACTAAGAAAAGCAAAATAAAGAATGCTTACGAAAAAAAAAAAAACGATTCGAAAAATTCCTCAAATTAAAATAAAAAACTTTCATGTTTTTTTTAATGTTAATCGGAAAACCAGAAAACCATTCTATAGAGAACTATCATCAAATTACAAAAAAAATTTTTTTGCAAGTAAATGTTTTATTATAAAAATCATAACACTTACCTGATTTATAAATCCGGAGAATTCCAAAATGATATGCTCTTCGTCTGAAATTTTATTCTCAAATAGATTATCCCTTACATAGATTATCCCTTTATTACTTTAAGATGGCATACCAATCAACAAAATTTTATAATTTCAAGCTGTCGATATGAATTTCAATATATAACTCGAAAACAGAATAACTGAATTCTAGTTGAAATTTTTCATTGAAAATTAAAAAATACTTACCAAGAAAATGATAAAAATGCATGAATAATCAACACGAATGATACTATTTCAAGTAATTTGGATGATTCTTTACTGCTGTTTTTTGAATTATATAGATATAGAAATATATACTATTCTATAAAGAAGAATATTCTAGAACTATTACTGACTACTATTCTATTCTATACTATTCTATACCGTTCTGAAATCGCATTTATAAAATTATTTTACTGTAATACACACATCTGTAACAACATGCGATCACGAAATCGAAAGTTATGCTATTGATAATGGAAAGATAAAAAACTATTGAGAAACCGTTCCTCAAATGTTGGGCTCGTTCTGTTTCAGAAAGGCTTACCAATGTTCTGGGCCGTTTTTTCAAGTTTTTCAGCCTTTTCCTTAAGGAAATTTTGCTTTTTATTTGCTGCTAAAAAATGGCGTCCTTCCTGCTAATGATTCTGATAGAACTAAATGAAAATTTAATAAAAAAAAGCCTGAAAATAACCTAATCGCTAGAGGGCTTACTCGAGCGTTGCAATTGGGAATTGCGTTATAACTCCACTTAATAGTAAAATTTTAAGTATAACCTCAGCCCCATGATCTCATAATATGCATTCTAAAATGAGGCGCGATGGTTCAGGGGATAGAGAGTTCACCTTCCAATGAGGTGATCATGGGTTTGAGTCCCTTCGCCGCCAGGCTAACGGTGGGAGGTTTTCGCGGTCTTCCTCTCCATGTAACGCAAATGCGGGTTAGTTCTATCAAAAAGTCCTCCACGAAGACAAATTCTTCCCGATACTTGATCCAGGAGTTCCCTTGTCTTCTGGATCGGATTCAAAATTACAAGGCTACGGAGTTGAATGTTAGCAGTCGTAAACCCAAAGATTGGGTCGTCTGTTCAACGACGGTTATGCAATATGCATTCTGAGTTCCGTAGGACCTGAGATAGAAGTAGATGAGTTCCGTCGTGTTGAATATTTGAGGTAAATTTTGTCATACTTTTTTTTCTCAACTTTTTATTTTAAAAATCTAGATTTTTTGCTCATATATCAGCAAAATCTATATAAATAACGAGTTTTGGCGTTAAAATGTCTAGCTATTGAGGTATACGATATACCAAAAGCAGAAAAGTTACGTAATGTCTCTCTTTACGCGAAAAAATCTTTTTAAATGAAACTATGTTTTATGCACTACTAATTAACTTTGAAACAAATTTTACTAAACTTTGTAAATATGTAATTAACATGAATAGGTTACGGAGGTGACCACTGTGAGTTTGAGTATGATGAGTGTGATTCCAGTCCTTGCATAAATGGAGGAGCTTGTGAAGATCTAGTTGCTGGTTATCGATGTCATTGTGGACCAGGATATCAAGGTCGGAGATGTCAAGTTAAAGTGGACCTTTGCCAACCAAATCCTTGTCCCACCCCAGCACGTTGCACTGATCGAGGAAATAACTATAGCTGCATATGTCATCCGGGATACAATGGTTAGTACTTTTTTTTGTGTGTATAATGTGTCACTATCATTTGCTAAGTCAGTATTTTTATAACGTTTAGGAAGTATTAGTCTAAAAACAAAGATATGCGTTAAAATGATTAAATAACGTAAGATGGTACGTATTCATTTTTGTTTCAAAAACATTCTCAATAGTTTTCTCTGACACGTTTCACAGAAGAATAGGATTCAAACTCAATAATACTAAAAAATATATAATTAAACAACTACAGTAATAGTTATTATACTGCAAGTATTACGTACAAACATTTGATTATGATTAAAAAATAATCTATTTTATACTGTTTCCCTCCTTTTTACCTTAATTTGTGATTCATTTCGCATTTTGGAAATCCGGCGTTTTTATTGTTAATTGCACATTTTTAGGTCCTGGGTGTACTCAAAAATATGATCCTTGTTTTCCAAATCCCTGCCAAAATGGAGGAAGTTGTTGGCCTAGTTTAGACTCGTTCTTTTGTTCATGTCATCAAGGATATACAGGTGACACATGTGAAGGTAACTCTTGTTTTACTTTGGATGCATGAATGGAGATCTTATTGAAACTATTTATTGTATACAAAGATGCAGTTATCGATTAAGAATTTTATTTAAAATACCATTTAATATACAGTGCGTGCAAAAGAAGTCGTATATTTAAAAAATTTCATATATATTGTATATTTAAAATTTAATTTTTCAAGAACTATTGGAACTATCGAATTGATCGATCTCAACCAAATTTGGTATTTTGTCATATAAAATTACGTACTTTAAAATGATGCAAAAGTTTTCATACCTCACAATTCAGTTTTGCTTCAACTATTATTAAATGAAATAAACTATTATTAAAAATTATTTGTTGTATAAAAGTATCGTTGGATAAACGAGCTTTATAATGGCACGAAAACATTTTTCGATTGGCCTTAAAAGTTCTCGAGGCATGATGAAATATGCAAAAAGTAAAATTAACATTCAGAAGTTGAAACTTTCGGTCTCTCTTCTAACTGAATTATTGAGACCATATTTCCCATTTTTCTATATTTTTTAATATTGTTTAGGGTGATGATGTCCACTGTTATCACCTTGAACAAAAACTGCAATAAATTTGTAAATAATTAGAGTACAAACAAAAGCAAAGTATTTTTAGAAAGCTAAAGTACAAGGATTCTAAATTTATAATAAACTCGACTTGGAAAATTTTAACCAAAATAATGTTTTTGCACTAGTCAGATACCTTAAAAAAAGTATAGTTAATATTAATAGGAGGTGTTTAAATTTAATAGTTATTGTTGTTACTAGACTAATGATATGTAGATTTAATATCCGTTTCAGAGCTACGCTACCCAGGAATGCCTTTAGCGCATAGCCTAGAAGATACATCTATTTATCGCAGTGCTACTATTGGTCCATCTAGTGCCCCTTTGAATCATTTACATAATTTGTACATTGCTGGTGCCACTCTAGCAGGAGCATGTTTGATAGTTTTAGGAGTTGTTACACTTTTCCATTGCCGAGTTCACAAGACTTATCGCAGATTTCGTCGCCCTTCTTCAACTAAGGAACAGATGTGAGTAATCTTTTAAATGAAAATTCGTCTCACAGGTATTCCGAGCATCATATTGTAATAATAGAATTCTTTACATGAAATTTTATAGCAGAACTTTTCTCCTTAATGGGTCACTCAGATTGTTCAATACGAGAGAGTTTCTTCTCGCTATCTAATGAGAAGAACGTTCTTGAGGTACAAATTTATTTTAATTCTAAAGATTTAGCTTATTCGGGGATGAGTTAAATTTTCTTAAATTATATTTTTTAACTTTCAGTAAGTATGTAATTATTGAATTCACGAACATCTTTCGTTTTAAACTAACTGTTATTAATTTTTTTATAGTTAAATTTCAAACAAACTAAGTTTCAATTATTTAATTCAAAGTATTATCTTTTAATAAAGTAGACATTTCACCACGTATTGTCATATTATATACTGTTCCCTTTTAAAATTTGCGAACCTACAAAGTACAATGACTGAATTTTTTGTTATTGGGATTATGGCAAAGTTAGAAAAAAAAAACACTATTACAAGACGGAACGTTTTGAAGATTTGACAAAGAAATGGCAGGATGCTGCATTTCATGGCTTTTTGCCATAAAATTCAGATATTCGATAGCCTGACGAATTCGATTAATTAGAATCACGCTTTAAAAAGAAAGGCATTTTTCTTTTCGTTTGACTCATGCTAATTACTCAAACCCAATGATGTAAAAAAAAAACATCATGGTTTTTGAAAGACTGGGAAAACCAGGGAAATTTGGAGATAAAACCAGGAATTTTGAGGATTATTGGAAATTTTAAGAGCAACAAAATTAGCTCATTCCCAATATAAATTGAGAGATAAATTTATGCAATTTAACTGCAGTAACTACAATATTAAAAAATTTAGCATTTGCTGCTGATCAGCTTGATGTATTTCAATTTACTTGCAATAGTTTTCAATGTTTTTATTCTAAACACTTCACTTCAAAAATCCAGTAATACTTTGTTAAAAAACAATTTAAGTGTAACATTTTCAAATTGATAAATTTATTTTAAAAAATTTCTAACTATAAATGTTCTTGATATTTAGTTATAAAATTTTAATAATTTTTGAAAATTAACAATTATTTAAAAAAAAAGTATGATTCACTCGTTTTGCACAGATTTTTTACCAGGCGCTAAATAATTATAATTGTCAAATCTTAATAAATAGGCTCAAAGAGCAACGCCCGAAACACACGAAATAAGAAAAATGGAAACAAAATGAAAACGAAAGTAAGTTAATACTAAGTTCGTGTGTTTGTGACGTTGCTCTTTGAGCCAATTTTTATGGATAAGAAATTACAAGAAATTTCTAAAATTAATAAAATTTTATAATTAAATATCACCTTTGCCATTTATAAACTTTAAATTACCTTGCGCACTTCCATGTTTGGGCCAATCCAAGGTAACTAACAAATCAAACGCGCTTCAGCACTGCAGTACGAACGCTCCATTAAAGCGATCCCTGTATTTAAGCTTCTGTTTTCATATTTTGTAATCTGGCAATCTTATTAGGTAAAGATTTTGAATCATTCTTGGAAGATTCCGGTATGTGCAAGTTCATTTGCATTCGCTACTCGCTTTATAGATTCAGTTTTGTGTTTTGTTCTGTATTTTCTTTACATTTTATTTTCTGTTTTTTGCTTCATATGTTCTATTTCGTATACATATTTTACTTAATGTGTTCTATTTTCTTTTCAATTTTTTGAGTGCTTCTCACACTATTGTATTGATATATTTTAAATAAATAAAAAATTTTTAAATGTTTTTAAAAATATTTTTTCTTCTCTTTTTATGAATCTTTAATATTTTCCATTTTTTCTCCATATATTTACTCACTAATTTTCTTCGTTTTTCTCTCTTTTCTTTTTGTCTTTATTTTGCTATCTATCTATGTATCTGATTAGTATTTTGCTATGTATTTCTCTTAGTTTGATGACAATTAATGCAAAATTTGTGTTTGCTTTCTTAGCAAGGGATGCTTATTAATTTATTTTAACTTTTGGATACTTTTTGGTATTTTTTTTTCAATACGAACGGGATATTGAAAAAAGCCATGGGGAGAGAAAACTGTGAGAGATATCCCCCAAAAAGCTAATATTCGCTGACAAATAAACTTCAAGAGGCAAAGTATAATAAATTGCGGAAAATAATTACTTCAAAATTAGTTGCAATCGTAGACTCTTATTACACGCAGTCGTAGTTTAATATTACTATTTATAATCACAATTCAAATTAAAGTTTGTCTGAAAAAACTTCTCAGTTTTAAAATGATGGTAAGTATCATAACTGAAATAAGGATATTTGTGTTGGATTTAAATGTTGTTAAAATAAAGTGGAAAGAACAGAACAGGGATACGATCGTTATGATGCTATAATGAAGCACCTTCTTCAGTGTTGAAATACAAAGGAAAAGAGAGAATCACAAAGATGAAGGAGAAATTATAGATAAGTTATAAGTAAAAATAGATTTACTGTTTCCATAAACCAGAGACGCCCAATCTATATCTGGTGGGCCAAAAGAGGCTTTCGAAGCTATGTGACTTGACCCTTGAACTCATTCTTTTTTTCTGCTGTGCTCTGTAACAATAAATTGCTTATCAAGTTCACAGACTAGCTCTAAGAATCGGATAGTAACTATTTCGTTTTACAAATTTTGTTATAGTAATGGATTTAATGTTTAAAGTGAAATGCAGTTTTTTACGAATTTGTATTTATAAATTGAAAAATAAAATTTCTAAAATTTATAAGAAACATAAATAGAAATTATTGAAAACTTTATAAAAAACTAGAGATAATTCATGTCAAAATACCAATGAGAGTCATCACATTTTTCTGTAATTATGAACACCCAATAGTAATTTAAATAACAATTTTTGTTTCATCTGGATAATAATTAAATTAAACTTTTGGGATGTAGGAACATTTTAATTTTCTGTATTATTTTTTCTTTTGTGAACGTGTTAATTTCTTATAATCTTTTATAATATTTTAACTCGTTTGTTTGGATATATTTACATGAAATCCGTTTACGAATTTTAAAAAATAAGTTAGTATTTTCTGGGTAAATGCCTATTAAGTCATTCATACTACTTTCATGTAAAATGTTAATTCTCCCGGCTATTTCATGATTATAACTTAATATTAATTATGTCATCCAACATAGTATTTGCTAGTTTTTTTTTTGCCCACATCCAAATGCGGTTGTGCATCTCTGCCGTAAACTATTGGTCAATCAGTTTTACTCATTTATAATTTATTTCGCATCTCTGTATTTCAACACAATAGAAGTTTCTTTATTATAATTGCAAAATGTCTCTTAATGTGTCATTATTTGTCCGAATCGTTTTAAAAATGATTGCGATGAAACACCGAGTGTTTTTTTCCCATCAGCATTATATGATATTAGTTATGACATTATTTGTGTGATATTATTAGTGCACATTGTTCTAAAAATGATTGTTATGATACTCAGTGTATTTTTTCCCAGCGAAGACCCAGACAAGTATTCACTGAAGTGGTGTGGGAACGTTTCTAAAGAAGAAATTAAGGACAGATTTCCTCTCATTCATGATGGTTTTGCAAAATAGAATTATGTATATTAGTGCTCTTGCATGTAAATGAAATCACTATAGCTTTCAGATACACCATTAATTAGCTCTTTTGTACTTATTTTCATCATGCCAAACATTTTCAAGAGTGGGAAAATATCTTTCAAAAGAAAGCTATTTTTAGTACAAATTCTTCGTGTCAATTATTTCTAAATTTGACTATTATATGCCATTTTTCTTGTGTGAAAAGGGATCTTTCTAGTAAATGGATTTATTCAGATTTTGTTCTCTTATTTAATGATAAATGAATTCATGAAATATAGGATTGCATTAACATTCGGTATCAAGTGAACAAAAATAAAACGTGTATTTTTAAATGATTAAAAAAGTATTTTTATTGTTTTTAAACGAAATGTGCCATCTTTAAGGAAGACTCGATATCAAGCGAATGACGTGTGTTCATAACAAAAAAGAAGTTCATTTATTTTATGTGCCAGATAATGTCATTGAGTGTTTTATAACTCAATCTTGTGTTTTTTTATGTTTGTAAACTTAATTCGACAGTGCAGGTCAGATACATAGTTGTCCTTATTCATCAATAACGCACTAAATGAATTTTCTAGAAAGGTCCATTTTCAAAATACAAATTGTTGTGATATTGTTAATATTAAAAGTATTTTAATGTTGAAATTTAATTATCCTGCTTCTAAAATACAGTTGTGATATTTTGTTGTCTTTGAAAAATAAGAATGCAATTAAAATAATGGGTCAATAATATTGTTCTTTGTATATACCATTGAAATTCATGAAGCAGAGGAAAATTTCATTAGCAATGAATGTTTTGTTAAACTGAATGTCCAATGTGCGTATGTTTTGTTCCACTTATTCATTATCATGCAATGTAGTATATTTGTATAAAGAGTGTGTATATATTAGTTTGGTGAAAAACTTCGAATTGAAAATAGGCTAAAAGATATGTAAATTGCGTTTAACTTAAAATCCTGTTTTTGAATGATCTGAAGGATCTTTAGGGAACGAAACATTATTCATTATGAAAAATCTCCGTCAAGGAAAAACATAATTTTAACAAAAATATCGAAACTTTATCGAATTATAATTGAAACAATATATTTTTAAAATTAATTTTTAATTATTTATTCCTGACAGATGTGCTAATTCAGGTTGCATAGATTAAAAAAAAACACTTAGTTTCACCAACACTAATATATGTATGTGTATTAAGATGCGTCGAAAGCCAAGAAGCCGAATTTCTATAGATTTTCTTCAAAAGTCTGGTTTATTTTCTCCGTACTTTTTTAAATCAGTAAAATGTTTCTTCTATCAGAAAAATCTTTAAAAAAAAATAGAAAGAGTTTTTATTATTAAGCAGTTGTCCAAAAGTGGAGAAATAACATCGATCTAAACTTAAAGCTCAGACGACAATTAAATTTAATCCCTAACTACCTCAAAAGACTGGGTGAAGTTTCATCCTCTATTTCTCGTGCCTGTGATATTTCCGGGTTTAAGTGTTCAAAAACAACGAGCCAAAATGACTAAAGCAATCCATTTCTTATGCCCGGAACCATATTTATTTCTCAATCTATATAAACCCAAATAGCAGAACCGGACTATTTGTAATGTGTTTAGAGGTAGTTAGTTTATTTTAAACTAGATGTCAACACTATTCAAATGTTTTCTCCAAAGTTTATCCAAAAATTAAAAATACATATAGTGTACGTATACTTAAATTTTAAGGATTTTCTTGAAAAAAATATAGCACTTTTAATGCTTTTCTTCAAAATTATGTGATCATTAAGGAGTTAAAGCTAGTTCATCGTAAAAAATTTTAAAGCAGCGTAAAACTTTTTATTTTTAATTTCAACGAAAAGTAGAATAAAAAATAATTTTTTTTATTTTGACAAAAAGATAAGTTCAAGTAAGTAATTTAACCTTATTTATTCATGCTAAAAATAATTTTTCAATAGCATTTTCTGATGTCTTTATGAAATATTTCAATAACAAAAGGCCATTTTCTTACGCGTGAAGTATGGAATTGTAGAAAAAAAAATTTAGCGGCTGTTAACGTTGTCTTCCCCCTTTTGAGAAATACCCCATTAAATTTAGTCTTCACAAACATGAAAGTAAATTGCCATTTTTTTTTTCATTTGGGGCATTTTTATGCCCCAATGTTGCACAGGTTTGAAAAGGCGAGAAATTTTTTAATTACAAATACAAAACTTATGTGTATAAAAGTAAAAAAATTTCTACCAATGGTTATTTCCACCAAATGGTCAGTGCATTACAATGGCCATAAATGATCTCCTCAAAATGGTCAACTTAAAAGAGGATAATATTTTTAAAGCATGTAATTTAGTGGTGGCAGACTTTTTTTGCTTCCAGTGGTTCCATGTTTTTTTTTTCTTTTCTGTAACCTTTCATTTTTCGCAAAATCTATCTAAATTCAAAATTTTTGGTTTTCGACTCCACCAAATATACATATCGCGTTCATAAAACGATTTTTACCAATGCTTTTGAGCAATGCTTGATGAAAATTATTATATAAATAAAATAAATCAAACAAAAAAAATCACTTAAAAAAATTGAAATTTTAATTTAAAAACTTTAAAGTTATGTAATCAGTAAATGCATCACTTGATCATTACTTTTTTGTAGAAATTATTTGTTATGAAGAAGTGTAAATATCCAAATTTCTCTGCTGTAGTTCCGTGCCAAATAAATTTGCATTCAATCATTTAACTAATTAAATGAAACTTTTTTACAAACTGTATAATTACAAGCTTGAAATATGTTTTGAGAAGCTTTGTCAAAATAAATGTATAGAAACGTACACATTGGGGATCAAAAAAATAATAATATTAAGGTAAATCATCAAACGCTTGTTTATTTGTCAATTGTATCACAACAAATGCACTTTTTCGGCAAATGTTTGCTGAGTTCCGTTCCACCATTTCGCTGATTGGGTTCGTATAAATCATCGTTCAATTCCACCATTTGGTTTAATTTCACCATTTGGTCCAATAATCGTCGATTTGCTTAGTTCAATTCCACCTTTTGATTAACTGAATTCCAATAAATCGTCGAATTTTTAAGTTCAATTCCACCATTTGGTTGACTAGATTCCAATAAATCGACGATTTGCTTAGCTCAATTTCAGCATTTGGTTGATTGGATTCCAATGAATCGTCAATCTTTGGGAGCTTTTTTTCTTTTCCTAAATATTAATTTTTGACCCCTAATGTTTGGGTTTTATTGAATTTTTGACAAGGATTTAAAAAATATATATTAAGTTTCACTACACCCTCCTGTATATATTATGAGCATCAATTGTTAGCCCAATAATTTGATTTTTACAAGGTGCTTTGCTTTTTAGTTTCTGCAAGCAAAGGTGTCCATTCGAAAACACGTCCAACACAGCTTTATGTATAGCACATTTCTTGTAATATTTTTTTTCTCATGCAATGAAGAACGCCACAGTGAAGTTCCAAAAATAAATAGAGCATTAATTTTTAACATTAGCTAAAAATTGAAAAATATATTTTATTTACTTGCAGATGGTTGGAATAAGCTTTATGTAATGTCCAAATAGCTTATTTCATACTATCGAAATTTTCTTTAATATTTAAATGTGCAGTAGCTTTCGTTGCACTATTTCGGGCATCAATTTTAAAAAATTAAGAGACCACATTACCTAATAAAAATGTCAACAGTTTTTATTGCTTTATTAAAAATATCATCACTTCATCTGTATGATTTCAAAAGTTTGAAAGGATTTCAGGTAGAATATCAGAAGTCTTTTCAGCAAAAACAAAATTGTAAGGTGCTTTTTCTCATGTAATCGTTTGAATTCTTACGAATTTTTTTTCAGTTATCCTTTTAACTATCAAATTATTACTTGGGTACATAAATTGTCAACTATTTTTATTTCAAAAATCAAATGTTTAGTTCAAAATAAAATATATTTAGCTGTTAAAAATTCATGTTTTGAATTACATACATACATAAGAAATTTAAGGTTTAGTAGCCACTGCATATTCGCCTGAGGCGGCTGCCACTCAACGTGGCAGTGGTAAAAATCACTTCTAGTGGAACATTATTTTGCAAACATTTAAAAAGAAAATCCAATTATTTTCTTAAAAAGCAAATTGCCTATATGTCGTTTCAAAGAACTGATCTCTATTTTGGGACAAAAAAATACCGCGCACTTAGAACATAAACCTTTATCCTTTGAAACCTTCAGTATAGTGCTGCTATCTATTGTTTTAAATTGCATCTAAATTAAATTTTCTCGCCGAGATGATCCGGGTTTGACAAAGAGATTAAACCGAAATAAACTTCTCGTGATATACATTTGGCTATAACAATACGATGCACTTCGAAAACACTCCGGCATGACAGTAAAAAGGTTTTAGAAAGAGCTTTGAAGTATATTTGTTTACAATCTGCATGGTATGTTTATTGAAAATAATAAAATGCACATGTGCATTTAAAAAAAAAACTATTAAATTATTTACAGCATGTTTTAACTGCGTATCATACGCCATTCCTTTTTTTTTTTTTTTTTGGCATTTAACATATTATAGAAATTTTGCAATTGTTTCAAAAAATGCTCTGATTTGTAGCCATGATCACTGACATCATTAAGCAAAATAATTTTTAAAACATATACACAAATTGTTAGGAGTTTTTTTAATTGCATTTGAAATTTAGAAAAAATTCAGAGTTTTCTAAAGCAAATTATAGATAACCCCACCCCGTCAGCGTGCATATTTTTTTTTTTTTTTTTTTTTTTAANTTTTTTTTTTTTTTTTTTGAGTGACATTTTCCACCATTTTGTTTAACTGTTTTATACAATCCAAAATGCAACGGAAGCTACTTCATTCAGACATGTATATTGTTAAAATTGTATGCTACAGTAATTATTAGTTCTTAACCATAATTTATTATTGATTAAAATGAAAGTAGTTTTTGAGCAGGTGTTTTTCAAATACCTCAGCAGCTATTCTAGTATGTAAAAAAAAGCTCTTTTTGAGACAATTACCGTCCCAAAAACGAGTTTTCTGTGCAATGCTTCTTTGTAGTATATTAGAATTTTTTTATACAAAAATATATTGCAAGAAATATCATTTTGCCAATATTCAATAAATAATTTCTTCACTAATCTATTGTACTTAATTACTTGTTTTGACAAAAATAAATAAGTTTTTTGCTTTAGTAAAATTTATACTTTATTATATTCAAAGTTCTCGAGGTCTTTTTTTTAAAAACATGTAATTCACAAAATACAATACACTTTCTTTAAAAAATTAATAAATTCGTCACTAATTCATTAACTTCCTGAAACTGGGTTTTAAGTGATGGCAGAAATTGCGATTTTCTACTTAGAAATGTGTAACTTTGAAAAGAGTAATTTCATACTTTCAAAAAATTCAATTTATTAAAGTTAATTTTTTTTGTTTCGGCATATTGTAGGATATTTTTATAATGCGTTTTTTTTAAATCTGAGTCTCAAAGTCCACAAAATTCAAATAATAAAATATTTATAGGTCATTTAACTCTCTAAAAAGTTTCTTGATTCGATTTCATACCTGTGTTATAAATTTTCTTTGTAATTTAAAGCTTCGACTCGAGGTTAACTCCAGTTATATTTTTTCATTTATATTTTGTTGCGTCATAAAATTGTACCAAATGTTGTCCAATATATTGGACGTTTCAGGAAGTTAAAAGCGTCTAAAGAATGACATTTTATTCAATTCTTAAAATAATAACAATAACAAAAAATTTCGCATCCATTTACTGACAATTTTTTTTTCTCAAACAAACAAGCATCATGTTTTCATGTTCTCTATAATACAGTAACAATTGCTTTAAATAAAAATACACTTTGAAGTTTGAGCTTCTATTAAAACATAAATGGTTACCTTTTATTTTAATTAGCTGCCCTGTCATAGTACATTGTAAAAAATTGTGCATAGAGCGGTAAAATTTGTATTTCGACGCTCGCTGTTTTTTAAACACGTGTGATGTTTACGAGTACGTTTCGAAAAAATACTTCGACCTTTCATAATAATTATTCAGTTGATTACTTTATATGTATACTATGTTTTTCCAACATATGTGGTGCTGACGAGTATGCTTTCTGAAAAATATACTCAATTGACTATTGATCGTAAACACAAATTTTATATGTGTGTAATACTAGTTTTCCAACACATGGGGGCGAAGTTTACGAGTACGTTTCCTAAAATATACTTTGATGACCATTAATGGGATGCACACAGAGCCTAACTAAGACATGGGCATACGGGGCAGTTGCCCCGACCCACACAGAGGGGGCCCCTAAATCGAATAGAGAGTTTTTAAACAAAATATCAGTAAAGTGGAAAATCTGTCAGTTTTATGTTAGCTTCTTCATTAATCTATCGTATGAATACAAAATATCTATTTTTCATAAATCCATGGCTTTCTAAAGCGGAAATAAGCAAAGTTTTCGCAATTACGATGGACAGATTTGGCCAATCAA